TTTTTGGATTTGTCTGGGGTCGGAAGGGCGTGCGATCTTCATGTTGCCCAAGGGAAGAAGGCTCGCTTGATCAGTAAACAACTGGCCAACTGATCAACCAGGTATTGGTACGGAGAAAGATCACACGCTCGTGTTGAGTTATCTAGCGCCATCCGCTAGAGAGTTGACAATGGCGATATGTGAAAAGAATACTTGCTTTGTAATGAAGCTGTGATATAGGCCAGGGCTATCATGTCATGACGAGGGAAGGGCGTAGGGCGTCTTTCTCCTGCCGTAAGCTACTCTAGAGGTAGTGTCAAATAGGCGATGGATGACACAATCTCAAGTTCTCATGTTGGAATGAGTCGTTCGTCTGTCCTCTACAGTATTCTCATAAACGGATTTGGAAGGAGATGAAGATCCAAGTGGAAACGGCCGACTACTAGTTCCTCCTAGTCTCCCTCAGCTCCGAGTCATTCTGCCCCTGTTCCTACCTACCTTTTCACACTTTTGCGTTTCCACTACTGAAGTTACTGTTACCCAAATTTTTTAGCTTGAAAATTCGCCGATGACTCTTCTGTTTCAAAACTTGCACGTACTGTATGCATTACACTGTACCATGCAAATTGTCCCGTCCTGTCCTGTCCTGTCCGGTCCGTCGTACTTGTGCCCTGTGTACTGTAACGAGCCGCCCCCTTGCAGTTTACCGGTAGATGGACACTCGCAAATGCAAGCTGAGACGTGTCTCGTGCGAGATGGGAGATTTACTCTGCTTACTTCTACGTAACTTCAGACACGACTTATTTGGTGTTTACGGGAAGGGAATGATTGCTGACCACATACGACACTCCCAAAGGGTTGGAGATTCGGTTATTTTGAGCTTCGTTTATTACCCCAGACGTCTGAAGAGTCAAAACTGTATTCGACAACTTATAACCGACTTTCGACCGAAGGAGCCGATGACAAGCAACGCTACTTGGAAAGACTACCTATCATAGACAACCTTTTGAGTGGACCCGGATACCCAACCGAAGTATGGGTCACGACGGTCTGGTTGCGGAAGGGGACCTTTTTGCGGGCATGCGGGGCACAAGGCGGGAATGGGGGTTCGGCTAGAGGGGGCTTGTGGTGAGTAGTCTAGTGCGAAGATCGAATCCACGTTCTCTCTTGTTGCCCATGGGGTTGTCAATGGCTGCTAGGTAGGGCCTTGATGATGATGATGATGACCAATTGACCAACCACATCAGTGAAGGTTATCTCAAGGAGATCAGCTTCACAACTCAATATGCCAAGTCTAGGTAACCAAGCTGAGCCAAGCTCCCCAGCCCATACTCCAAATAGAAGATACCATGAACGGATCCGAACTCGCCGTGGAAGAACCCGGATGACTAAAAAGTTTCTTGGATATTCTTTGTCGTGAATTGGTGACTGTTTTGGTATGATATACTTCTTAAGACGGCCCACACCACGCCTTGTCGTCGACAAGTGGAGAAGACGAACCTCCGTTAACGGCGGTGGGTTGGTGTCATTTGTCGATCAAACCAAGATTGGGCTAACGAGAATACAGTTAGCGTTGCGCGAGCGGCCTGTAAGCGACTTTTGACGTTTCTTCACTCCTTGGATGATGCTTTCCATAGCAGAGATGCTTGGAAATCATCCAGCCAGAGGAGTAGAGATGGGAGGTTGAAGACCAAACCTAAATCATCGAGCGTGTTCGTACTAGTGACTAGAGGTACCGGAACCCATTCAAACATCTACAACGAGAAAGAAAAAAAAAAGTAGAGACAAAGGGTACCACGAGGACAAGTGGTTGTCCACTTGAACAACTTGGCGCATCTTCTATCACAGCTTGGCCTCCAAGCCACCTTTTGCTTCCTTTCTCCTTGTGTCTCACGACGACTGTCGTCTGGGGCTAGAACACCAGAGGTAAAAGTACCCGACCAGGCTGCGTCCCGCGGTCCCTAACGTTGTGGGAGGTTACATTGAGTGGTGAGTGTTCGATATTCCCAGGCCAAGAGCAGCCAAGAACACCCCGCCTCTGCCACGATAATGGGGTCATTGGCGAATTATGGTCCATGTCGTGGTGACGCTGTCTTGATAGAACCACACTCCGCTATTTCCCCTACACCCACAACCATCAGAAAAACACTTCCATTTCTATCTTCGTTCAAGCAAATGCATAGCAATACATGACCTATGGACCAGCCACCTTGGCGACCCCTTGACCGGACAGGGTCGATGAGGCGTCAGTCAGCTTTCGAGACGCGGATGCAGAAGGGGGGGGAAGCTCCAAAGAGCTGCCATAAGCGAGTCTCTAAAGCCACCAGGTCTCGGCGAGGACCTTGATGGTTAGGCTCAGAAGTAAGAAGTCTTGCACAATACCTATGCTACCACATGGCAATGGCTCTTCACTATGACTGGCTTTGTAAGTGACTCAGAGAATTGTTGTCTCTTCTAGGAATAGTCCCAACCAGCCGCATGGCATCCCTTCTATCATGTCCGATGCCACTATAACAGAATAGCCCAGCGCTTACACCTACCCCATGGTCAATCATGGATACCCCTTGGCGGCGGGCATGTAGCTGTGTACTGTGTAGTGTGTACCAAACAGGAGGGAAGATTCCCTACCGTTTCTGCGGTAGGTATAAGGGAAGGGATGATCCTCGGCCTTTGTGCTACATTCTGGTTGGATAATCTACTTGGCGGCATCACTTATAACTCCTCAACCCCCTCCACGCCTCCCAGAACATCACCAGTTTGAAATCAGAACATCCACCTTACACACTTCGTCCCCGTACTTGGCTATTTCGACTAGCTACCGACCCATATTGGAACTATACTTCGCAACTACTCTAGTATCTCTTCAGACTCTTGCCTCTTCTGCCGGTTTTCGATCATACAGTGTCAACTTCACGTTCTCATCAGCCACCTTACTGGCTTGTCCAGTCACGACCAACCGCAATGGTTCACAGGCAGGCCTTTGTGGCCGGTATCATCTCATCGGGCGCCTCCTCTCCTAGTGAACTCAGCAGCGAGCTAGTACTAGGAACGAATACCGCCAACAGACCAGCTCCTTACCAGAGGTCCAACATCGATATCAACATAACGAACCATTACAACTCCAAGGTCTACACATCTTCCTCGCCTATCGTTGGCGATGTTACCATCACGACCAAGCGAGATGTTCGGTTCGACTCCATCGAAATTATTCTGCTCGGAAACACAAGGACAAAGACAGAAGGTGTAAACTCACCCGTTGAGATTGCACATACCTTCCTCAAGCTGGTCATGCCCATCTCATCGTCGACATATCCGGTGCCGAGGGTGCTTGAAAACGGAAAAACACTGACGATTCCTTTCAACTTCGTCATCCCAAACCAACTGACTATTGGGGCCTGTAATCACAACGTGCAGACGGACCAAGTACGAGATCAACACGTTCTGCTACCACCGAGCATGGGAAAGGAATGGGAGATAGACGATATGGCACCTACAATGGCCTCGGTCGAATACAGCATCAAAGCCAGGGTGTTACATCAACCAAATCTGGGAGGAGAGCGGATCAGGATCATGGAGGCTCGGAAGTCCATCCATGTACTACCAGCCTCACCAGAGGAGCCGCCTCTCAACATCACCGAAAACGACAAGCTTTACTGCATGTACAAGAAGAAGTCTCTGCGCAAGTTCCTCTCGTCCAAAATCGGGACACTGACGGCCGAAGCCATCCAGCCCCGGGCCGCCATCCTCCAATCCAACGGCCGAACCATGACCTCCACCCCCATGGCCCAAATCCGACTAAAGTACGAGCCCACCTCATCGCAACAGCTCCTCCCTCCACCCTCCATCACCAGCATCTCCGGCAAAGTCACCGCCCACACTTTTTTCAACGCTGGCACGACGCCCACATTCCCGAATCTGGGTAACTGGACCGCCGACTACTCGACAGACAAGCGCGGAGTTTATTCGACATCCGTGCCGCTGCCCAAGATCTCCGTGGTCCATCCGACGACCTGGCAACAACACCCTTGTTCGCTCGAGAGGCGAGACTCTGGTTACGCCAGTGACCGTAGCAGCAGTGCCTCTGAGACCGAAACCCGACAATTGATTCCCCCATTATTATCATCTTCATCACCACCACCGACCACTTCATCCATGCCCTCCTCCAGGTCCTCCTTCTCCTCTACAAAAAAGGCCAAACCCTCATCATCGACATCATCAATCTACTTAACCTCCACCCTCTCCATCCCCCTCCCTCTCCCTCTCGACCGCCGGACCTTCATCCCCACCTTCCACTCCTGCATCGCCTCGCGCGTCTACACTCTGACTCTCTCCGTCACCGCTGCCGTTGTTGGTAGCACCAGTGCCAGCACCACTTTCTCCCTGACACTACCACTACAAGTAGCAGTGGAGTGGGATCCCGAGCAGCAGGAGCAGCAGAGGGTGGATGGGCAGGGGTTGCCGCACTTTGAGTCGTTGTATGGTACTACTACTGGTACTACTGTTGGTGTGGATGGAGGTATAGAGGGGGTAAATGAGGAGGAGGAAATGGCGGCGGCGGAAGAGCATTTGAGGCCGAGGGTTATTGGGTTGCCGCCTGATTCGTGGTATCGGGAGATGCAGATGCAGAGGGAGAGTCACAGGGAGCGAGAAAGTGGAAGGGAAGTGGTGAGGGGGGCTGATAATGGTGGTGGGCAGCAGCAGCAGCAGGTGAGGGTGGCGGAGGAAGGAAGGTTGCCGGGGTATGGGGAGGCTATACTTACCAGGTGATTTTTCGGTCTTGTTTTGTCTTCATTTCCTTTTGATCTTTTCAGCTCCGTTGGCGTGATGTGTTTTTCTGGGCTTTTGGCATATCGGAACAGAAAATAAGTGCGGATACCGGATGTGGGATGATACCATGACGTGGATATGGATAGCAATACCCTTGACTGGACAAGGATGAAGATTGTACTTTGTTTACTTTCCCCCTTTTTTCTTGGAGAACGACTAGGGATATAATGGATAATACATATATAATCTTGAATAACCGAAACCGTCAACATCAGCATAATACCCAGCAATGCACTCGAATGCTCCTCTTCCCCTTTACTCCAAGCGTCCGGCACGCGTTCCTCACTGATAACCCACCTATTTTGATATCGTCGTCAAGGGCGTTACCACATTCACCTTGCTATACCACAACCCCTTGATTTGTAAATACCATCCAAACCACCCCATCACAACTCAACAACCTGAACAGGATTAATCACCTTCCCCGTATTCCCATAAGTCACACTAGCATTCACCAACAGCGCCCCATTATTCGATCCCGGCCCCTGCATCACCCACTTCCACACCACAGCAGTAGTCCCATGCCAAATCACCCTCGCAGCATCCATCGAGTCCATCCAAACTCTCTCAAACACCTTCACAAAGTATAAACTCAACGCCAAGCCGAAATAAACCGGCAATAGCAAGAAGTTCACCAGATTCGTCGGCTTCTGCTTCTTCCGCATCTTTGAACGAGGTTCCTGGCGATTTTGAGAGGCCGATTGAGAAACAGCTGAAACAGAGGCGGGAAACGAGAAAATCGAAGGAAAAGCAGGCGGAAACGGAACGTCAGCACCGCGCGCCATGAGCGACTCGTACGCCCGCTGGCACTCGTCGTAGTAGACGGCTTCGCGGCCGGCGCCCCAGTGGACGTGGCCGAACACGTGCAGCTTGGGCTTGACGCGCCAAAGCTCGGCGAGGAGGCCGGCGCAGCCGAGGCCGAGGTCAAGGTGGTGGCGGGGAGGGGTGTGCGTGATGAGGATGTCGGTTTCGACGGGGATGCGGTTCGTCCAGGGGTGGGCAGCGCGGTCGTATTGAAAGCTGTGAGAATGTTAGTAAGATGGAGGCGAGAAGACGGAAACGAAGGTGAAGAAGAAAAAATAAACAAAGACTCACGCATGCTCCGGTCCTCCACATCTCGGCACCCCTCCCCATCCCCAAACATTCAACTTCCTCCCCTTTGCCCTCCCCTCAAACTCAATCGTCATGACACCTCCATTTTCTCCCTCTCCCACCATCCCATCCAAATACTGCACCCCCTCCGGCCACGTCAACTCTCCATCCCCCTTACTTCCCTCCCCAAACAGCACCTGCCTCGCCCCTTCTTTATCCAAAAACCCATCATGATTCCCCGCCACCACCAAGACCCTCTCAAACCCCTTCCGCCTCCTAACCTCCCCCAACCAATCCAACTGCCTCTGAATACTCTCCCTACTTCCATCATCCGTCAAGTCTCCCGCATGAATCAGCAGACCGCCCTCTCCGTCGGGAATCCTAGCCAGATCGAGCTCATAATTATGTGTGTCGGAGATACAGACGACGCGGATGGGCGGGATATTCGAGGGCGGGTGGAAGGCGTGCCCGCGGAGAAAAAGAAATAGATGGTAGAGGTGAGTGACGACAAGGCGGAGGAAGTGGAGGTGGATGGGAATGATGGAAAGAGGCCAGGATTGCATATCGGTGAGGAGGTGGTCGAGCGGGGTTGGGGGGTCCCATTCTGAGGAGCGGAGGAGGTGGAGGCGTTGGAGAATGGCTGTGATGCCCATTTTGGTCCGAGTTTAACTTTTGGACGATGGATTGTCGAGCTGAAGACTTCAGCTGAAGATGGATGGGGAGGTCGAGGATAGGATGAGTTCCCACAGATGGTATTGGTGTGGAGACTGGTTCGTTGATAAGGTGACGTGTTTGGGCAGTAACGCTCTCGAGTTGTTCGTGTGGTTACCAACACCAGACAGAGTTGGGTTGAGATGGTAAGAGACAGAATACAACTTGTTCGGGTACAGTGCCCCTTCCCCTTCAATGATGTAGTCTAGTTGGGCCGAAGTTGGAGGTGGAATGATCAAGACCTGATGGATGATGACGCGCGGGGTGAGCCCTGCCCCGCTGCGGGCAATGCATTAGGGTAGTATACTGCACAGTACCGGTACCTGAATGCCCCTGTATGTACCTACTCTGCAGATTCCAACATCCTGGCGCTTTCCATCTCCTCCACTTCTACTTTTGTGTCTGAAAGGGCCATCAAGGTAGCAGACCTCGAGATGAGTGTGACCGGGCTCATGGTGATAACTTCAGGTCTAAAAATATTTCCTTCCATTTCCCTTGTCCTGGGCATGCCTACAAGGTCCTCCGGCCTCTAGCAGCTCTTCACCAAAGGTATCACGAGAATGCTCGCAGACATTGGCAAGAGAGTCAAGTCATTTTGCTACCTTACATCTATCGACAATATTCAATGCCTGTCAATGTCTCGTACAGTAATGCGCTAACTGAATTTGCGGGTATAATCATTGCTCTTCTGTCGTTCTTCTTGTTTCTTGTTTTCTTTTGCCTTGACATCACTCCCAAGCTCCCACCTGTCATTACAACGTGTGACAAACTCCTTCTCAGTGAACCTTTCATTGCGCCAAAGTTACTCCAAGAGAAAAGTAAGAATCAATATTCAAAACCCGCCGTGTAAAATGCCGCTCGCTATTGTCGTGGTACCGATCGGTAGGACACGACGGAAATACAAAAGTTACACCTCGAAAACCATCGGTCCCGCATTGGAACAAAGCTGTAATAGAAGTAAAAAGGTTTAATCGACTTTGATGGCGCTGTAATTCTCCTAGTCAGCAATTCATTCATCATTCACTTCATTGAAAACCCAATGACAAGGAAGAGGACAAAGAGAAAAAAACTCACCCGTATATCCTCCTGACAAAAGCATAAGCAGTCAAGAACCCCACCGTGCCCGTCAATAGCCCATACACACAGCACGCCATAAAGCTGTAACTAAAAAACAGCATTGAGCTCAGCAGTCCCGTGATGTGCAGCTTAGCGAAATAATACCACATGCAGTACAAAAAGACCCAAACGGCACTTCCGCCACCGATGAAAAAGCTCTGCCACCACCAGTGGTAGTTCTCGGCACACAGCTGGATGTAGATGCTCACCACCGTCACCTCGGCGACCGTCACAACCAGGAGAGCCAGGACGACTGCCAGGAACCCGAAAACATAATAGTAACCGCTCTTGTCTTGCCACATGCTCTGAAACACAAACAGCAGTTCAATGAAAATGACGGCAAACGGGATCAAGCCCGCCAGCAGCACCGTTCTCAAGCCACGGAGGTACCACGCCTGAACGGGGATCTGGCGCGGGATGGCGCTCGTCTTGGTCGGGTGCTCCCAGGCGCCTTGCTTGCGGACGAAGCCGTACCAGGAGCCAACGTAAACCAAGGGCACCTGGACGCAGAGCCACAGGAAAATGATGGCGATCAGAGTGCCGAACGGGATGGCGGTGCTGGAGGCCTGAGCCCATACGAACAGGTTGAGGACGAAGACGATGGAGAACAAGAGACCCGGAAAGAGGACGGCGGTGACCACCATGTTCTTGCGCCAGCGTTGGCCGCCAAAGGTCTTGTACACGCGGGCCGAGAAGTAGCCCGAGAAGAGACCGGCGAAAACGAAGAGGCCGACCCCGAAGCTGACGAAACCGCCGCGGTAGCTGGGGTTGATGATACCTAGGGCGCTCAGAAGCACGAGTCCGATGGCCATGAAGAGCAGTTGCATTCCGGAACCAACCAGTGGGGCGAGGAGGTGGCTGTAGGCGGGCGTGCGGAAGACGTCAGCGTGGAGGAGCTTCCAGCCGGTAATGTCCTCGAGGGCTTCGTCGTCGGAATCGACGTCGGCAAGACTGTCGGGGCCAACCTCTTGTTCCAAAAGCCCCGGTACTTTCTCGGTAGCCGAGGTGGCCTTGGTCCTGCGCTTGGCTTCGACGTCGGCTGATCGAGCCTTGTATCCCCGGATGTCGGATCGAATGGTCTTGGCGACGACCATGAACACAACGCCCGTCAAGACGCCGCAAATGATGAGCGAGTTGACGATGGCCAGCCAGTGGATCTTGTGGCCATCCACCTGATTGACAAAGTAGAGGTCCCATCTTCTGTGCCACTCAATCGAATTATCCTCGCGAAAGTACACCGAGTAACTGTACGGAATGGTGAGCTTCGCATCGTCGTCATAGGTGTCGTCGTCCTCGACATAGTACGATGACCCGGGGCTCAACTCCACCGTCTTGTTAGGCGCCAGGTAGAGTTCAAAATTTTGCTCTACGTCGTGGAGGTTCGCCGGGCACCCGTCGACATTCTTCTTCACATCCGGACCAACGCTCTTGGTATACACCTCGAATCCAACCACGACCTTGCCTCCCTTCTCCCCATCCTTGCCGGGGGCCTTGCGATACCGGATCACGATCGTGTGGTGGTTGTTGAGGTAGTAGCGGGGACGACCGGACGAGAGATCTGTATAACCCAGCTTGAAACCCGCGGCATAGTACTTGCGTGTCTTGTCGACGGTCACGAAGCTGGTAGCTCCGGGGAGGTTGTCGACAATCCACTCGACCACGTAGCCATCGCGGACGAGCTGGCGCGCCCGCTTCAGCTCCTTGCGGGTAATCACGCGGTTGCAGAGAAAGTTGCACTCGGAGTCGTGCTTCATCCTGAGCTCCATGTCGGACACCTTGATGCGGTCGCCGCGCAACACCTCGCCTAGGTTAAGCGGGATGCTCTGTCCGCTCAACAGTCCGCCGAACTTGTGCTCGCCCGTGGGCGGACAGACAAAGGGCAGGTCGTAGTAGGCATACTGAAGCTGCGTGTTGTCCGAGTAGACCTTGTTGACGAGGAGTGGGATGGCCTCGTCTTCCTTGTAGCTCTTGACGGACCAGCCTGGGAGATAGAAGGCATGGACCTGGTGGCAGATAAGCAGGGCGAAGAAGGCTGCCCACCGTAGCCCGACGGCCCCAATGGTCCGCTCCATTGATGTATGGTTCCCGAAATACTGTTCGGTCGGTACTGTCGTTGCAAAGTCAAGTCATACAATGGGTTAGAGTTGTGCCGATGACTACGTAGGTCCCGAGGGACGGGAGGCTTATCGACGTGTAACGGTATGTATCGATCGATATACAACAAGTATGAATAAACGGGCCGGATACCCGCGGGAAGCTCGTATTCCGACCGCTTTGACGGATGAACCCCGCTTGTGTCCTTTTAGTTATGAGGACGCCAAAAAGGAATCGATAAGTCGGTTGGGATAATGACTCTCAGAATAAAGTGTATATCAACGTGTCTGGTATGAAGTTCGGGTGTCGGGGACGAGGATGGGGAGCGTGATCGTGATCGTGATCCCTCGTGGGTCCTGCGGAGTCTCGGCGACAGCTTGTGGTTTCTCTGGGGTTCCAGAAAAAGGGGTCCTCTTGTTTAGTGCCGCGTGTGATCCCTACCTGACAGCAACATGTGCCTGTGTTGTACGTAAAGCGAGGGTTCCTTGAGGGTCCAGTTCGGAAAAAAGGGGGAGGGGGGACGCGTCCCTTACGAAGAGGAAAGTGTCACGGTCACAGAAGAGGAAGAACGAATGGAATTGGTACAAAGTACCACGTCGAGCGGTTGGACAAACGAGTGCAATGAAGTAAGAGTAATGGCTTAGTATAGAAGGCACAGGGCCACGGAGATGGGGCACAATCTTGACGGGAGTCGCGAATGACTCAAGGTTGGGTTTCGTGCAATATTAGTATTTAAAGGACATGACTGAGGAGTGTTCAGGCCAAAGATCCTCCAATTTGACAGTGTCTGGCCGTCCGCGGGGGGAAAGCCCCCGGGGGCGACCTGACTCTCGCTTGCATGTGGATGGGGAATCCTTAATTGGAGTGGAGTGGGACAGGCTTGCGGTCTCTCAAGCTCGCCTATCTCTTTTGGGAATAGCGTTTTGTAACGGGGAGACAGGGCAACAGCCGCTGAACATGTACACTAGCCTAGCGCTTGGGCCAAGTAATCCAGAAATAGCTTATCATGGCGCCTTGGCATTCCTCCTCCTCCAGTTCCTCCTCCTCCTCCTCCTCTGCCTTCACACTATACAGGAGATCGAAGACTCGATGGCAACAAGAAGCATTGCGAATTTGAGTATGTCCTGATTTTATTGTACATCTTCTACCCGCGTGGCTGAGTATGAGCTTCTTCAATAGCGTGTCCATCGCTGCCTCTCAAGCATCACTATAAATCTCCCAACCATTCAAGCTACAGTTTGGAGTAAGGACCGATAACCAAAAGACTGATACGATGTGTTCTGTGTAAACAAAGCAGATGGTAAAGATTGTGTAGGTCTAGACTTGATGTGAGGTAATGAGCATCATGTGGTGCTGACAACTCCTCCCAACCTCGAAATATATGAATATGAAAAATAGACAAATCGCTAGCCAGACCCCAACTTTTGACCAAACAAACCACACCTCCCGCCTCACCACAACCCACAAAATGAAAAGTCCCGGATCATTCGACAAAGGAAACCACAAAAACCACAACGTAGCTGACCTCAACTCTACCCTAGGTAGCTATCCTATCACCCTTATCCCTCAATATCCGCATGATGTTCCTCGTCAGAGCATTCACCTCCCCCAGCCCCCATCGACGTCGTTCTTTGCATCAACCTCTTACTTGCTATCCTTGGACTCTTTGAGGGACTCTTTGATGGACTCTTGGCGCTCTTGGGGCTACTAATCACCCCTTGTCCGTGCCCTGGGGGTCTTCGTTTCCTGATCGGCTCTGTTGCCCGCTTGCCCGCTTTGATTTGTTTCCTTCGCTTCATAGCGGCAGTGACAGTAGCGTCTGGCGTTGATGGAGGAAGCAATTTTTTGTTGCTCGTGTCGTTTTGCTGCTCCTTATCTTCATCCTCTTTCTCTTGCATCTTTTGTTTCCCTTTCTCGCTCTTTGTATTCTCGGGTGTCTTGATCTCGGCGATATCCTTGCTCTGGTTTCTGGGAGAAATAGGGGTGATAGGACGAGTTTCACTGTTAGCAATAGCCATCTCCGAACTTTGTATCCCACGACAGTTCAAGACAACCGGTGTCCTCTTCGTTCCTCGCGACCCTTGCAACGAAAAGGTTCCATCACTCCCAAACGTCCGAGTTCGTGGAACATGGCCCACCACTCCATGGTAGATATCTCCGCTGAGAGTGTGAAGGTGTTGGGGTTTAGGCGAATGAAGAGGGATAGGGGACATCAACATTGAAGAGTCTTTATAGTCTGTCTCATCTGAATCATCTTCGACACCTGTGTCGAGGACATACCTCTGTTGTCCGACTGCCCTCCCAAACGAACCGGCATTGATCGGAGTAGTGGTCCATGAGGAGCAACGGCAATGCTGGCTCTGAACTGTGGCTTCCCGCTCAAAGAGGGTGCTCGAGTCCAAGAGCCCGGGTAGCTGTGTACCATGTGCACCATAGCCAAAGTCATTGAAGAGTAGCTCTTCCTCGCTTTCGCCGGTGTGACGTTGGTGTCCCTTGATAGAGGACGCGTCTGTTGATATGTAGTCGTCAATGTTGAAGTTATCGGGAGCTTCTGGTATCGGGAGAAATGTCAAGCTCGGTAATGGTGTAGCGCTCTTGAACGAAGTTTGGCTCAAATTAACCGAGGTATCGGCTGTATGTTGGGATCTTGAAGGCGAAGACGGGTTGGATCTCATGTCCGAAATCGAGACAGTGGAGGATGAGCTTGACCATGATCGCTCGTGATGGTATTCGGGGTTCACCGCAAAACACTTCACTGACGATGCATTTGATAAAGGGCTATGGCCTCTTGGGGCCGATTGCTCCTCGTTTGCTGTTACACGAGGAATTAGTACTCTAGACACAGGGGCGTCTCCTCAGCCACCAACGAAAAGCTTAGATAGGCTACTTACGGGATAATGGTGTAGATTTGATAGTCTGTGGCAGTTTCAAAGACAGAGTAGCATCCCCAGCAGACGGTTTCAGCGTACTAGCAGCGATGGTCCTGAGGGGCCATTCGATGACAGGAGGGTGATCATGCACTTCGGTATCCTGTTCTGTGGTGGCGGCTGTCTTCGGAACATTGGTGCTCTGGTTCGATGCGACAGGCACATATGGATTGACAGATCGGGACTGTTGCAAATTACAGTTCACTGGCAGCCGTACATCTAGAGAAAGCGTTCTATCCGGATGTGCGTAGGAAGGAGATGTTGGTTCGTAGGATGTTATTGCCCGCGGCGAGGTCTGGGAGATGGTCGAGCTGGTCGACAAATCGATAGGAAGATTCAAAGCCACCGCTGGTGCCCTGGCTCTACGGCTGTTCGGTTCCGATTCAAGCCTTTTTGTGATCTCATCCATTTTTGACTTTTCTGAGATCATGGAGGAACGAGCATAAAATGCCTTGACCGAGGGTGAGTCCAGGTTGTGACCGTTTTCTCCCAGATTCCTCTCTGCAACATCCTCGCCATAATCTCTGATGCCTGTAGCTTTCATTCGTATCTTGAAGTTGATGGGCTTGATTTCAGAGTGCGCTTCGATTATATCTCTGTAACGGCTTCCGGTATTGCTGACAATAGAGTTACTTCTTGAATGTACCGAAGGAGCAACTTGTGGCTGGGCGAAGACAATGGTATCGATCCCATTCTGAGAAATTGATCGGGGACGTGGTGAAGTCTCGGGTCTGGCCATACGGAATGAAAGTGGAGGTGGTCTCTTGAGGAGGCTTTTCGCACCTCGTGTAACTCGTAAGCTGCCACCGGCCCCTAACGAGCGAGAAAGTGTCCGAAGCCCATTCGGGGCTGAGCTTGGTCGCTCGATATCCTCCGCTCGAAAGCTAGGGGTGACGGGACTTGGCATTGGGAATCCATCGGTCACTAACCCATCGGCTCTGGCGGCAATCTGGGCATCGCTGACATCTCGCGGAAGGAACTTGATTTGGAGCGGTCCATTTCCTCGTGCCGGATTCGTTCCTATCTGTGTTAGTACACAAGTGGCTTGACGTGATGAAGTATAAGTGTGAGAGCTCACCTAGAACTGGGGGTGCTCCAGCAACCATAGCCTCATAATCTAACGATTTGGGAGACACATCCATCTTGCTCTTGTTACCCGACCTCTTGCTGAATAGTCTAAGAAAGCCCATTGTGATGACTGGAAGCTGCTATCAGCAGCTAGAAAGACTTTGCAGCCAGCCCAAAGGCTTAGGGTGAGAGCACTCTAGGGGAATAAAGATGTTGTCGGTATGTGGATAAGCGCAGACACCAAACTCAAAACTAGTTTGGTATCCTGCTTCCAAAAAAAGTACCTTGGTTGAGTTTTGTGTCGAACTAGGCGTAGGATATCAGAAGTGATCAACCAGAAATCTCAATAAAGTCTATGTTGTAAAGTGAAAGATGCAATGTAGGAAGCGGGAAAACAAGGGAGGAAAACAGTAACAGAAAAGTCACAGGGTGGCAGAAGCGGATCGAGAAAAGCAGCAGAAGGAAAGAAAAGGAGGAGGGGGGGAAGAAGAAAGCAAACAAAATCGGCCGGTGTTTCTTCGAGAAGGATGGGTTTCCTAGCCATCGTTCCAGACCAAGAAGAAATGCCCCCCAAGCCTGCAGTTTACCACGCAATCAAAGCGGCTGCTGAGGATGAAGGACATGTTCACTCAGCATCTCGCTGGCACAGCATGCGCAGCTGAGGTACTAGGTTACGCCGTGGGCTTCCGAGAGGTTGCCATGAGAGGCTCAGTGTCCGTGGAATTCGCTTCTGCATACTAGATAGCCCAATTGACTTGACACTGGCTTTGTTCAAGTGGTGAAGAGTCGGGATTGGTTGGAATAGGTTTGACATGGCTCACATCTTGGGGTTTCCCCGGCGTGAGGTAGCACACTCGGGAGGATGAGTACATGTCGAGTGAGCGTGTCTGTTTCTGATTTCTCTCTCCTCACACCGTATCTGGCATTTCTTGCCTGTCTTCACTAGGTAGCACTGACTGGGTGAAGTTCATGACAGTGGAGCGTCAAGCAACAGCCGCTCGACATGGTGACTGTCCAGCTTTGGATGTCGCGGGGAATGAAGGCATACGGATGTTTGAGTTCTTGCTTATTTCGAGCAGTGAGGCTGCCGTACAGCGTTTGTTTGAAGTCGTCTGTGGCGGATGATCTACGATATTGGACTGGACCAACGGAGATCAACCTTCCGTCATGGAGATATCTGTCAGGTACCCTTTCCCTTCGGTCACATCAGTCTCCCTGCGTTTGCTTCGCTTCTGCCACTCTCGCCTCATGCATCGCCCGCCTCGATTGCAGTGGTGTGTTTCTAACAGAATTAGGGAAGGCGCTGTTTGTGGTCGGTAACCAAGGTACTCAGGCGTCATCATCTCAGCTGCAGTTGCTGCTTTGGGTCAGTGATAAATTACCATGGATGATTCATGTTACCATGGCCGACGCACAAGCAAGACACGCATCGCTGATGATCCCAGCTGATATGGATGATCGAAGTAAACAAATGACCGAAGCTAGCACGGCTAGAAATCAAGAAGAAGCTTGATGGTACAGGAGCGAGAAGAATGGGGTAGCTACCACTGATCTCATCCCGAGAAGCAAGGGAGCTAGGCGACCCCCCTGGCCTGGTTATATTCAGCGATCTTTGCGATGTCTGGCGCAATGATCGCTGCTTGGGCGGTTACTAGCCGAACGTCTGGGGGCTTCGTTTTCTCGCCTGGACGCCTCGAAGGCCTCGCTACCCAATCACAGCCCATGTCGCCATCTGATTTGGGGGCCTTCGTTTTCTTTCCATGCAGCAAACTGTCTGTTTCCATCCTTCTAGCGGTTCAGAAGAACCGGGGTCTTTTTTGAGGTAGGATGCTCCCTTGTCAGCGACACTACCCTCAAGAGCCATTCATAGGGAGCCGGAGATGTCTTGGCTTTCCCTCAAAAGTACGCCAACGTTCGTATACTTTCGGTTTCCAAAAGTTTGTAGAGTCGCGTCTAGCACAGTATGATGGACTAAAATTGAATTACAAAGGGGGCTCCCAAGGCCAATGATCATGTTCATATCTGAAGTAGTGAACGATCGAGGATACAGAGGTTTCACGTACTTATCAGAAGATTAGACCTGACCTCATCTTTGGGAATTGCTTCGCAGAGCAGGTGTGATCGCGAATATCAGATCTCTTACTAAAGAGTCCAGAGCTTCAAGGGTTCGTAGTATCCGCGGAGCCACCCGACTTCTTCCTCCACGGAAGCAATCAGAGTGGCCCAGATAGCTCAAATTCCAAGGCCGTGTTAATTTCTTCCCGTTTGGCCATGCCAGTTCCCGTCGGCAGAAGGGTTTTGCCTTGTTTGTACCCGCTTGCTCCGGCCGTTACCCATACATATGGACATATGGATGAGTAGCCACTTGTTGACCTGGTTTTTGGTCTTCGAGTGCTCATTAGCCCCGTCATGCTGTTGAGACGTTCTTATTTTCGCGAATCGCTCTGAGTTCTTGACATAAGTTACAGGGGTATGCCGGTAGCCAGACTGCTTCTCGTATCACGTATTCGTTGCACTTGTCCGGTGTCATGTTGCTCGAATCTGATTGTTGTCCTTGTCAACTATGCATGCCTGGACCTTCCTCGGGAGCCCCTTATGTAGGGAAAAGTGTCACATGTATAGTAGTCGCCGGGATAACTCAGCTCCACCCGAGGCTGATCAAGAGCGTCCGTAGTCCCGGCCACGGGGAACTGGGGATTTCTCTTGACCGACATTCCAGAGATCCTACCAAACTGATGCTTCCCAATACTTTGTGATTGAGACGGGTTCCGGGTGTCTGGACTCCGACGAGTAGCTATTGTGAAATTCCTGTGATAATTCAAGTAAATCTATGCTATGTCTTTGCACCGTCATCAATAATCCATGCATGGAATATTCGTGGGACTTGTACATACGCTTGCTGATAATCAACCCTTTTTATCCCTTGAGCTGGTTCTACAACACAAGGCAAGGCGGAATCCTGGTGTAAGGGCTTATCTCGCGTCTTCCAACGACTCGAGCAGGAGATGCGCATCTCTTCCACCCACTCTCTAATCGAAGCTGCTGGCAAGTGCCACACAGCTGAACCTCAAATCGCCGCCCCCTCTCTCTAGGAACTTGAGCGGTCCAAGCGTCAACGCCGCTTGGCTCAGGACATCATCGTCCTTGCCAAGTTCACCCCTCTTCAGCGGTCCCTTTCTGCGTCCGTCTAGCTCCCACAAGCCTCCATCCTCGGTCTTGACGAAGCAGACATAGTGCAGATCGACCTCGTCTGTAGCGGCCGGTGCTTCGGTATCGCCCTGGGTCGCCGCGCTCTTGTGGGCATTAGCCAGCTCAGAGTTCGTTTCCAGCACTCTTGCCCTCGCAACGGGATCCAGCGGTGTCGCATCCTTGATGATTTTGTCCAGGGTCGAACCCTCTTCCACAAGCTGGCGGGCCGGCCCGTTGATGGCCGCATGGAGCAGACCCATCAGACCGCAGGCGTTGCGGATTGTCTGGCGAAACCAGAGAACAGGCTCTAGCGGGCCCTTGCCTGAGTAGTCTTCGAGGAGAGAGTCCTCAGCGAGGCGAGCCGATTCGTAGGCGGCCGAGACGGGGAAGACCATCAGCAGAGCCAGGGCAGGGCGCGGGATGAAGGCGAGCATGTCTGGGTCGGTGAGGGAGTAGACGTCGTGAACCTGGAGGGAGGTCGAGAGACCGAGCTTATGGAGGAGGCTGGTCATGAGTTCGGGGTTGGCTTCGAGGGGGATGAAGGCCGGACGATCGGAAGCAGCGGGGACGCCGCCGTGGGGATCAACTTCGTTGGAGGCCATGATGATGGTAGTTCGGGAGGTCTATCTGTGCGCTTGGTTGTCTTTGATGCTGAAGATATCTTCAAAAGACTTGATCAGCTTATGCTCGATGAGAGTGCCTAGAGTATACCTAGAGTGCCGGCAGCTTGATGAAGCTTGACCCCGCGGTCGGCGCGCAAAACAACCCCCTCTGATCTACCCAGCTGGGGTCCGGTTGCTGTAAGCAGAAGTCTGGAGCTTACCTTGTTGTTTCCACCTGTTAGGCTTGCTGTGGAAGTTGTGGTGATGGGTTGGTGATTTGTCGTGGTGGACGACAGCTGTAATCGGAAGAATTGTTGCCAGTGATGGTGCCTAACCGAGGGCACCCATGTGATGATATCATATGCACACTGTGGAGACCTCGACAGTGGATGGTGGGAGCGCAGCCCCAGAGACAGCTGTAAACCCGCTAGGCGCTTCAGGAACAGCACAGTATATCTGTACACTACACTAATCACCATGCAGTGGAACATGATACTCGAGCGGTCCACATTGAAATGTCTGAAAGAGATCAGCAACACCAAGGGCAAAAGAAGACTAGAAATTGTAGCTACAGAGAGGAACTTGTACTTCCAAGAAGCTTTTATACATCGAATAACAACTCCCCAATCGCTAGGCTAACCAACTTGCCCCCTAATACCAACGCCGACCATCCATGTAGTTCTACTGGTGGCATTCAAATCCGTTTCGGTAGAGATACATATATCATAATACACGCCCAGCTCCAAGCTTCCATATAGTACAGATACCTTCCATATAGTACAGATATTGGAGGTCTTTATCCTCGAGAGACACGGCTGTTGGGGTTCGCAGTTGTCCTGCGAGCGCGAACTGGCAGAGCAGCATTGACCTCCTTCTTCTCCCGATACAGCGGCTCCTCGTGTCCCTCTGCGTCCCACAAACCGGGACCGCTCTCAGCGACAGGAGCCTCCTCAGCCTCTGCGCCAAGGAGTTTCTCTTCCTTCTTGCTATGCGACTGGGCCTGGCGTCTGAGCATCTCACGACGTCTTTGTTGCTTGTCTGCCTCGTAATCGGCAGCTTCCAGACAGTTTGTGATCTTCTCCTCAACCAGAGATTTGACGTGAAACGCCAGTTTTTGGCTGACAAACACGCCACGGTACCGATAGCTGAGCCACAAATACAGAGTGACAGCTTTATGGAGACCTTCGAGTCGCAGCAGGTAGTTCTTTTGTCCCTGGGGATCAAGCTGTGAAGCATCAACATCGAGCGCCTCCAGATCAACCTCGGGAATCTCGAGCAAGTGACCTCCGGATAAGTTGGCAATACTCCAAGCGAATGCCCTGAGAATGTCTTTTTGACCCTTTTCCCGGAGTGAAACAGGGGCTGTCAGCAAGACCGATCGGTCGTATATGCTGAGGTCGAACTCCTTGAGGACATCGGAGATGTCGAGATGCTCGCCAAAGCTGCACATGTTGAAGGAGCTCGAGAGCCGTGCCATTTCCCTGAGTCTGGACAGAACGAACGCAAGTGGAATATCGGGAGAGAACAGGGAGGCAAACCGCTCGATGATGTGCGATGGCGGCAAGATACCCGCCGCGGCAATGGGCTTGGCGTCGTTTTGAAGATGTTTTCTGATAACACCGAGATCCTGTTCATCCATAGCTGTGACGAAGCCCGGCGCTCCCCACTTGCTGAAGGCAGACGTAGCTGAAGTCTCCTCTTCTTTGCCGGAGCGAACAGCATCAGTGGCTGTCCTATAACGACCAGCCCTACCGCCAATCTGCTTGACTTCCGGGATTGTCAGAGGGCGATGCGCCATGCCGTCGAATTTGAATGCCGATTCGAAGACGACGCGTTTGATCTCTAGGTTCAGACCCATGCCAATAGCATCACTGGCGACCAGGAAATCGTACTCGTTGTTCGGGTCATTGAACAAGGCAGCCTGCGCCGCTCTGGTTTCGGGCGGCAACGAGCCATAAACAATGGCACATTTACGCCCAGTCGCTTCTTCGATACCAGCTTTCAGAGAATGCAAATTGACCCGAGAAAACGAGATAACAGCGTCGCCTTTTTGGAGGTTCTTGAAGTCGGTGCCAACAGCTTGCTCCATGGGAAGCAAGGGGTTCAGTCTCTGATAACGATGCACAATACACTTGTCACCCAAGCGAGCACAGAGTTCCTGTATCAGATCAACCACTCTTTCCTCGCCACAGAGATGAAGCTCCTTTGCTTGGCAGCCCAGAACTGCCTGGGTCCAAGCCCAACCACGGTGTTCGTCGGCGATCATTTGAATTTCGTCAATGACAGCGACATCAACCTTCCAGTTCAATGGCGTCATTTCCACCGTACAACTTCGGAAGAACATGTCGGCGTCTTCCGGTATCCTCTGTTCCTCGCCTGTGATGAGGGCACACGATTTGCCCTTTGCAGTAAATCGCGTGTAGATTTCGTGCGCCAGCAGGCGGAGAGGACCGGCATAGATGCCCGATTTCGCGTTTTCCAGAGCTTTCAAGGCGTTGTAGGTCTTTCCAGAGTTCGTCGGGCCGACGTGCAGGTGAATAGTGCGCTGCAGTTGACGAGTCGCAGGGAACCATTCGTAAGGGAAGCGCAAATCGGCAAGTCGTAGGTGTAACTCTGTGGTGGACTTGGAGAACTGCTTGCGCATCAAGAAGGTCTGGAGCGCGTAACGAAGCTCCTTGGTCAATCCTGCCGCATCCCCCTTGATAAAGGCAGAGCGCAAGTTCCAGAACAGAGGGTTATCAGTCCGCGACGTCATGCCGAGTGCGCTGGCCAGGTGAAAGGACCTCTTCAGAGCCTCTTTGAAGAAGGAGATCTCTTGGTAGTAGCTCTCTTGAGTGTGCAGTCCGAATGCTCTGTATTCCCGGTGCTCTGGGTCCCATTGTCCCAATTCCCATAGGAGGTGATTCAAACGGTGCTTTGTAAGGTCGTAGAACTCGTCGTATCTCTGCCGCAGCGCCGGCTCCGAGGGCGTCGTCCTGCGCTGTGCCCTTTCCCGGTCATTGAGGCGTCGTCGAAGCTGTTCATCAGCTGGCAGATCCTGCAAGGCGAAAGAAGGTCAGCATTCCGGAAGATGAGCGCTAGGGGCGGAAGATGTCGAGGGAATCTAACATTAAAAGATCTAATTGAAGTGTCGGAAGCGGTCTTGGAGCTGCGCGGCGCGGGCTTCTTGGGTGGTTTAGACGACTTCACCCGAAAGCGGCGAGTAACGAGGACTGCGCTCCGCGGACATCTCCAGGCCTGCCCTAACAACGCATTCATGACGGTGGACGAAGTGCGCCGGCGATCATGCTCGTCGTTCGAGTGGGCACAAGGTGTTGGTTTTCAGAGGCGTGAACTTGAGCCCGGAACAACGTGGGATGGAGGCGCTACAACAATTCTTATCGTGGAGTTTCTGACCTTCGGCTCCAATTCTTTTTCTTTATCGCTTGGTTCCTGTCCTTCCACAGACGGGAGCACTCCTACTCTTGGCACTGTGCTGCCTTTGACCCCTGCAGTGGGACTATTCACCCCCCGGCTGAACTCGAAACCGACCCACCCGCCAAGCCCACAAGGCCGTCAAAGGTGGAGTGGTCCTGCATCGTCATCATGCAGCCCGTGAGTGGACAGTGACACTTAACTACTGAGCCCGCTCTGTAACCTCAGTGGCAACCACCGTGACCGACAGCTACACTGCTACACTAAGTAGAAACAGCATTTTTCGAATCTCGGGTCTCGATTAGTTCAGCATTGATCATATCATTCGATCACCACGAGCCGCGATCCGCCATCTTGAGACTTGGACGCTGAGCCATTCAACCTTCTTTCATACACAACACCCCGCGGCCTGGTGATTCCGACCCAAAGAAATCTTGCTATACCTCTTTGCGCGCATCCAAAAATGGCTTCATCATCGACTTCAGCAACTCCTCTCCTCTAGTACGTTACTTCACCACCTTACCTACCTTATCTGACCAGCCCTCGCCGATCACTGACACCCCTCTCCGCAGCTCCTGCATCGCCCACAACACCACCATCCTAGCCGAGTGCACCACCTCCGCCTCGTCCCAGACCTCCTCCCTCGCCTCGCTGATTCTCCCCAAGATCGACCACTCGACTCCTCAAAAGCTCACCTACACTCATGGCTCCTACCACATCCACTATATGTCCGAGTCGCCCTCGGACTGGACGTCGCAGCCCTCTGCCTCCTCCGCGGGAGGGCTCACCTTCTTGGTCGTGGCCGACTCCTTCCTAGGGCGCCGCATCCCCTTCGGTTTCTTGGTTGAAGTCCGCAAGCGCTTTCTAGCCCAATACCCGCCTGGGCCGACCAACGATTTCTCGGACATGCCCAACTATGGCACGGCCTCGTTCAACTCGGAGCTCAAGACACTCATGGTCGACTACGGTACCACGGGCCAGGGACAAAACGATGCAATCACCAACGCTAAGCGGGAGATTGAGGATGTGAAGGGCATCATGACTAGGAACATTGAGGGTCTGCTGGAGAGAGGCGAGAGGATTGATCTGTTGGTGGATAAGACGGATAGGTTGGGCGGCAGTGCGCGCGAGTTCAGGGTTAGGAGCAGGGGGCTCAAGCGCAAGATGTGGTGGAAGAATGTAAAGCTGATGGCGCTGTTGGCGCTGGTGGTGGTGTTGATTGTGCTGTCGATCGTGCTTGCGGTGAAGAACAGCTTGCCATGAAGGATCGGGTTGGGAGACCTGGTCTTGGGCTTCCAATTGCCTGAGTGGACTTGGATTTAATGAGTGACGGGTTACGAAAATACGGGGTCTCATGTCGTTATGGCTTTCTGCTCTTGTTGTCACTATAATTTTGGCGTTTTCCTCCATATCCTGCGGTTGCGTTCTATTCCTTTGCTAATGTTTGCTCCGGTTATAACATGTAGAGCCTGTATCATCGCTTCGTTTTTCAATCGGATGCTCTTCTCTCCTTGATCACTTGTGGACGCAATGTCCCGCCGGGAAATGAGGACAGAGTGGCTGCAGTCACGGTGTTGGTGATATGAAAGAAAGAAATTCAGGGAGCTTGAAGATTTACAGCACCTAACCCAACGCAAATTGAAGTCCCCGGTCATTTGTGTATTAACGAAACGAAAGACGATAACTATACAAACATTGTCTTCATCAGTACCAGGTCCGACAACACGGAGCATCGCCTGCTTTTCTTTCGTCAACAGCGACAGCCACAAGTTCTCCACCAAAAGCGTCCGCTTCACTACGATAACAGTAACGTCTCGCTTAGTATCATCATCACCTCCTCTGCCGTCAAAATCGCCCATAAGAAATCACCGGAAGAATAGAAGAAATAAAACAAAAATCAGATGATGAGACCTAGTCAACCAGCACCCCCAGACCCCTCACCGCTACCTCATCAATAGTTTGCCCCCCATTCTTGGGCGACGCGCCACGTCGTATTGCCGTATCGTGACTGTCGTCAGATTGTCAAGGGGACTGTCGCGTTGCCGGACGGATGCGGATAGATCGGGCAAACACCTGGGGGGGACGGAGCGGACGGGGCTCCTTTGGTCGAAAATTGTACCCGTTGTCAGGAATTAAACGGGCGAGGGCCATGGTGAGGGCCTGTGAGTCTGGTTTGGTTGATGATTTGAACTTGCCCTTTGCTGAATCGCTTGACGATATGTTTCATTGACAACGTTGAAAGATCAGGGTGAAAGACCTAGTGTATAGCTAGGGTCCTAGTTGGTTAGTCACTGGTGCTTGGTGGTCCGTTGTCGAGTGAGTTGCCGAGAAAAAGAGAATTGGCATGTTGTAATGCCAAGTTGGAAGGTATTTGTATATATTCTGTCTTGATTTCGGCTTGAGATCATCAGTGATTGCTTGAGACCGCACGACCGCACGCAGTCCGTTCCATAATGTCCCAAGACCCCGAGATACGATAATGGTGATACGGGTTGTTAAGCTCGTTGTAAACAACACCATATCATGGGGCGTCAGAAATGCCCCCGAGTCTCGACTGTATGTCTCGCATCTGACGCCTCCTCATCCACACCGATTTTCATCCAGCATCCTCATAGCCTCGAACTTCCCCCAGCAACCTTCGCCGACCCAATTGCCATATTTCCCAGGCTCACAACCCCTTGCCTCTGAAGCCTTTGCGCGTCTTGGAACATATACCCATGAACCACCGGGCTCACCGCATGCGACGATGATGTGCCACTAGGTCCGGGTTTTTGAAGTGTGAAAGACGGACTTCTTCGCAGTCTTGGCGTGAAGAAAACTGGATGGCAGTAGGATGGGTCGAGAGTCATGGCAGGTGATGGTGGCATTGCCGCTTTCGGAACAGACGTAAGGTGCTTTGTTCTGGATTGTGAGAGTGAAGGTGACGATGATGATGATAGTAGCGGTACCTGAGCCTTTGGGGGGTTTGATGGGAGGGTCGTCATTGATGTTTTGGTGTTGATGATTTGCTTGCTTTGGTGGTCTCGGTGCCAGTTTTTTGGTATTTGGAGATCTGTCGGTTTATAGCTTGGTTAAAGTCACGGTTGAACTGCGTAATCGAGTTGGAGTTGAGGGAGGCCCCCGAAGCTGTGTGTTGTTGAGGGCAATAGTTAACTGGTGAGCCTTACGGAGGTTGAGAACGGATATGATCGCTAGGGCCGAGACTCGGCTTCTTGATTAACAAGGCAGTTCTGGTATCAGAAACAGCTCGGCGGAGATTGAAATGAGCGACATCTAATGCACCCCAGAAATTCATGATCCTGGGACGTTGGATCGTCCAGGATGCTATTTACATAGTTCGTCATTGTTGATCATCTTCACGTGAAGTGCCGAAAGAGCCCCACTATACTTACCGGCCCGGCGTTCTATCCCCGCACAATATGGTGTCCTGCCTGCCTGCTAAGCGCCCGAGGGGGGCTCCGCTCATGGATCGGCCCGTCCCCGAGCATCGGGATTCAATTCCACATGCGGCCTGCATCTTGTACGTACATTACTGTATGGTACCTAGTCTTCAGTCTACACTATGAGTACGTGAAATCTATATGCTGTTACTGGTCTATTTGACTTCCTTCTAGGCAGTCTTCTCTCCATTTTTCGCCTTCTTCCCACTCTTGGGCTTTTCCTTGTCTTTCTGCTTCCCCTTCTTAATCGTGTTTACTAAAGCTTCAATCTCCTCGACACGTTCCCGTTCCTTCTTATCCTCCTCCTTCTCCATTTCTCGTTTCTTTGCCCTTGCCCGCTTTGCAGCCGCATCCTTCTCCTTCTCCTCAATCAGCTTATCGCTTGATTCCCACAGCTTTTTTGCAATGGCTTCGTCGTCCACATCCTTCCGTGCGCAGTCGACCACCATGCACTCCTTGACCACTTTTCCACCCTTGTCGCGAACGAGACTGCCTTCCATAACCGCCCACAAGATAGACTGCGCGCCCATCCTTGCGCTCTTGAGGAAAAGCCAGGAAAAGACGTAAAGGAAGAGGTATACGATGAGACCCCATACGGTGCCTCTAGTAAGCCACCGGCGCATGCCAGGCGTTCTCGAGTATCCAGGATCCACCAAAAAGACGCGCGCATTCATCGGAAGCTCATCGGGCCTCTTGTATGCGTCCAGATGCTTCTGATAGGCCTTGCCAAACACCATCATGGCCATCTTACTCCGCGCGTATGCCTTGCCGGGGGACCAGTCCTTCTTATCCAAAGCTTTATCCAACGACGGCGAGCGGATGTAGGCGGAGCATGTCGGGATAATGATGCGCACGTCGCGGTCGAACGGTTGGGCGCGGATCGCGGGACTGAGGATGCCCAGCAGATGGAAGTTGGAGAGGAAATTAACCTGCCAGGTGCTCTCCACCCCATCCGGTGTCTCAGTCCTCGACTTTCCGGGCGGTGTGAGGGTCGATCCGCAGAGAACGATGGTGTCGAGGCGGCGGGGAGGAGCGTTGTCAACCCATTTTGTCGCAAATTTTCGGACGCTATGCAGAGAACGTAGATCAACTTGTTCAGCGTAGATAAGCTGGTTGTTGGTGCGCTCGCGCATGTCGTCGATGAAGTCGACGAGAAAGGCGTCGTTATGTTCGTGGTGTGTGAGGAGGATGATTTGGGCGCCTCGCTTGGCAAGCTCGTAGACCGTAGCGGCGCCGATTCCTGATGTGCCGCCGGTGATCATGACAACGCGACCGTGCATGTTCCGTTCAGCCGTACATGTCGCGCCACTGGCGTAGATCTTCGTGACCGCGATGGCTCCGAGAGCGCTGCCGGCCTTGGTGAGAGTCCACGGCCCGGGTAGCCATGATGGCCACCCGTCCATGAGAACGCTGGCGAGGAAGGGAATTGGCATTATGCGGGATGGGTTTCGAAGGGATCGTTAGTGCTTCCAGTAATGTTACAGGGTCATTCTGCGAATCCTGAGATGTTGTTGCTGTTGTTGTTGGTGGTGCAAAAGCAAAGAACGCTTATGAAAGAGGACAACAAGCTCGAGAAAGGAGGAGCTATCGCAATTGGCTACAGGCCCAACTGGCCAGAAGTTTTGGCTCCAACCACAGCAGCTCAAACAAGGTTACGTCAGGGTTTCAGGGGCTATAATTAGCGACCCAGTCCACCAAAACCGACCCAAGTCCGGATGGAGGAATGGGTCCAACATGGCGGGGACCACGACCAGGAACCGAAACAGAGCCGCATCGACGGCAGGCATCAGACCCCACTAACCACACCTCAAGCGCGGGCATCAAGGTTCTCCCGTGATTGCCCCATCAATTACTACTACTACTTCACCACTTGACGGTCCACTGAGCCTTTACGTCAATTCACGAACCCATTAACACAGCTTACCCATCTCTCCTCCACCGTCAATTACAGAACATCAACACAGACTCATCTAAGAAAAAGCTCTGCCCATGTACCCACAAACAATGGGTTCCTCAGACAGGCGAGCCGTCAAGGTTACAGACAACGATGATGCAGAAGACGTCCCCCTCCACCACCTTCGCCCCTTCGGCACCGGGTTATACAAACAACAGATAAAATTCGTCCCCGCCTCCGATGGCGATCTAGACTCGACCAGTTCGACAACGACCAAGTCCAGCAAGCCAAAACTTGACGTAGCAGGTCTTTACCTGGACATGGTTCTCGCCAATAAGGACAAGAACAAAAACAACGACAAACAAAATGAAAATCAATCAACAGTGACGGATATTACCGCCATCACCACCACCAACACCACTACCTCAGACATAGTCCAAACCACTACACTGCCAACAGAGCAGCCGACAATAGTAGTACCACAACAGGAAATCTGCCAGATCTGTAGCCTCCCCTACGCACCAAATCCAGAATCCAAAGCTATCCACGAGCAGTCCTTTGCGCACCAATCTCGCCTTCCACACTCCCACCCTCCCTCAGCCCTCGACCGTTCACGGATGGGGCTTAAACACCTGACAAGCCACGGCTGGGACCCAGACTCCCGCCAAGGTCTCGGGTCCGCGGCACAGGGAATCCAGTTTCCCATCAAGGGCAAGAAGAAAGATGATCACTTGGGGCTTGGGGTAGAGGTGCCTAAGAATGGGCAGCTGCCAGTGCCAAAGAAGAAGGAAAAGTTGTTGGATGCGAAAAAGGTTCGGAAGATGGCCGAGGTGGAGAAGAAGAAAGCGGAAAGGATACGAAAGGAGTTGTGGGGGAGAGGACCCGATCTGGAGAGGTATTTGAGGAAGGGGGGCTAATGGGTAACGAAGTGGTTGAGGGTCTACATGATTTATTGGCAATATGAATGAGCGTCATATCACCAAGTTACTTAGCTAATCTCGCGGTAGCCGATGTTAGCGGCAGATGGAGGGAGAATCTTGGCTTTATTCAAGGGGATTCGTATGTTAACCCCGAGGAGGGCGAATAATTTCAAGAAGAACGACGGATCAAAAGGATCAGCGCACAGTAATACGCACGTTTGATCACATAGACTAAAGCCAGGGCGATGTCATACCGGGAACCATGGGACGGGAATCAGTTTCCCAACATCAACGTCAACTTGCCTATTTGATCTGTGATACAGCCGAGTGACTCCCTAGATTAATCTTCCTTGGTCTCTTTTTTCCTGAATCGTCCCTTTTGCATATTTGCTACCAAGTGGAACGTGTTAACAACCCTCTCTTAAATGCGAACAACCTCTGAAACGAACCCATTAACTAATGAAGCACAGACACCCCAGAGCAAAATAGAAGATCAGAAGGGGGAAAACCGCCAACCCAACGCGGTTCTTGACAACGCCGCTTCCACTGAGAATGCTTATACCTGCCGCAAAGGACCAGCCTACAAGCACCAGGTACACCGGAATCCGGGCGACCCAGTACAGCGAGAGAGCGGAGAGCATGGCAGCCAGGACGAGAGGGAAAAGGGTGTATCCGATGATACAGACGCTTTGGGCGAAAGAGCTGTTTGTTGGAACCAAAACTGTTAGCATGGCCACATATCATCTCATCAATGATGTAGCTTTGTCAGCTACAACAAGCCACAAGAAAACAAAAAAAAAACACTCACATATTCCCACCCAACAACTTGATCTGCGCCGTCACCACCGCCTCACCAATCCACACCATTGCAAACACTCCGCTAAACACAATCTCCCTCTGCTGCTCCCTGCTCCTAAAGCTCAGCAGAGTACTCAGCAACAGACAGAAGATCAACGGGCCCCAAAGATCCCAGTCCCTCAATCCAGGACTCATATTCCCCTGCTGCAGCAGAGACTCGGGGTCCATCACTCTGCTCGCCAAGCCCGTCAACTCCTCCCTGGCGCCCGACAGGCCGGCATTCCGGATGTTGGCGTAGGCGCCCCGCAGGCCGTCTTCGGACTCGAGCATGGTGCCGCCGAAGAGGTAGCGCGGATACAGCACCTCGCGCATCTTGGACCACACGGCGAGCAGATCACGGCGGAGCGTCTCCCACACCGTCTCGTCGATGGTGTTGTTGGGCGCACGACGGTCCTCGCCGGGAATGCGGGAGGTCCAGGCTGATTGGGTGTTCCCTCCGGAAGAGGACGAGCCGATGCCGCCGGCGGCGGCGGCGGAGGAGGACGAAGAGCCGATGGTGCCGGTTAAGGGTGCGCGGGAGGAGGAGGGGGCAAGAGGGTCGTCGAAGTCGTTTAGGTCGGCTTTGTTTGGGAAATATCTGTGTTAGCAATTGTCTCGTTGTTGTCGAGTGGGGTGGAAGGTGTATGTCTACGTGGACGACAGAGATGTAACTGCGAGAAACTCAAGGGAGTCAGTAGAGCTTACCATCGTCAGGATCTATCAGATCATCGTCGTCCAACATTGGTTGCTGACGGTGGTAGTCTTTACCACCCAGTGAGGCCATCTTTGTGTCGTCGTGCGTGAATGCGGCCAGGCGAGTTGTTCGTTTGTGGCAGAAGGTGTAAGCTTCCCTGTTTGGGTAGGCAGGATTCTCGGACGCAATCAAGGTTGGCCCCTTTCAGTCGGTCAGTGTTCGGTCGATTGGGATGTCAAGAACCTATTCCCAGTCGGGTGGGATACGGTGCCAGAGGTATTCGTGATTGATGGTGGTGGTCTGCCTGCCTAGGAGCTGTTGTGTGGAAAGCTCCGTCAGAGAAGCTTCAATGTTCTTTGGGGGGGGGGGGGGGGGGGCCGATTGGATTGGACGGGCCACGTCCCCATGTTGGGTTCAGCACGGCGGACGACCCCTTCCCCCACGGGTCAAGGTGCTGACGTTTGCTGCTGCTACAGGGCAGTGCTCCAAAATGGCCCGAGCTCTACATACTGTGGTAACACCCCAGGGTTAGGGTTTATGAGTGCTCAAACATCATTCAACCCAAGCCTTCCACCTTCATCAGACTTCCTAACACAATGTCTTGTAAACTTCTGATATCATTTTTTTTTTTTTCATTTGCATCCTATCTCTAAGCTTCCTTGTAGAAGATAGCTGATAACGGATTGTATGCGTTACCCCACTTTCGCCGTCACTTCGCCGTGTATATTGATACATTCCAGACACTCCTCGCCCTGTTCCACGGCGTCTAAATGTAGCTGAAAAGATAATAACAGCAAGTATCCTCCATCTTCTTTTCAATATCCCTGTTTGGACTTTGTAAGCCATCATGGTTCGAATCATGCATCATGTGGTAAAACTCGTCCACCCTTTTCCTTTCCCGACAATCTAACAGACATGCAGCCATTGGCTTAATGATGACCACCCTCCGACCCACTCGTCGCTGGAGCTGGAGACGTGCCCGTCGTCGGGAATGCCTCATGGAGCTCCTGAGGGTTCGGGTAGTGAGCTGCTGCCACGCCGATGGCCACATACACGATCACGCACAACATACCCTCCAGGTAATTAGTCTTCTGGTCCCTCAAGAAGTTTCCGACTGTCAAAATGGCGAGGATCAGCATAGCTAGGTCGAACAGCTCAAAGTTGAACCCCATGGGCTTGTTCATTCCCCAGCCGACAATCACCACGAGAGGGCCGTTGAAAAGGGCCGTCTGTAGCGTTGAGCCCAGTACCGTCGATAGGGCGATATTCATCTGGTTGTCGTACGCTTCGTCTACGGCCGTCAAGTGCTCTGCGGCCTTTTCGACGAGTGGAATCATGATCAAACCGAGAAAGGCATCGGAGACACCGCGTTCCTCAACTAGAAAGTGGATTCTGTCGACGAGCATGATGGCAATGATCGTAACAAGGGCGACGCCCACGGCCAAGGCGATTATGGACTCGATTAGAGTGAGGCGATGACTCTGAAGCTCTTTATGCTTGTCGTCATCACGCTCGGCGTCGGCCTCGAAGATAGCGTCGTAGATACCGTGGTGGGTGCGCATCTGGAAGAAGACGTACACGAGATAGGCGATGATGAGCAAGACAGCGGTGCTACGCGAAATTTCGAGCGTTTTGCGGTCGAGTTCTCTTATGTCTAAGCGGCCATGAAGGGCGTTATAGAAGGCTGTAGGAACGGCTAGGCCGAATCCACTGTGGCAGAAGAAACAGTGAGTACTTGCGCCTGCTAAACACGGAGCTCTAATGTGATAGACGTGGGAACTTACGCAGTGAGCAACAACCCGCTACCGGCTTCACTGACAATTTCGCTAAAGTGCGTCTCCTCGCGCTTGAAACCAGCAGCAACGAAGCAGAAGCCCAGGCAGAGCAGCATCGTAGCAAGGATTGAACCTAGGATCGCAGCCCTAATAACCTGGGTGTAGTCCACTGATGAGGTAGGGCTATACCGTTTTATCAGGACTATAAACAGAATAATCTCGACCAGCGACCCGAAGCTATCGACCGTAGCCAGTTAGCAACGTTACATAACCATGTCCCTAGCGGAAGGAGGAAGAAAATACTCACGTCGTCTCGGCTAACACACCAAACACATGCGGCACCTTCTTGGCCAAATTCTGTCCCGCAAACCCAACCAAGTTCGCACAAGGCACCATAGCAATATACGCCAATATGAATATCGCCAGATCTTGATGAGGGGCGGCGTATCTGAGGGCGATGGCAGCGGGCACCACGGGCCATAGCACGTTGACCATGCGAGACGCCAGCGAGGACGAGCGGAACACGATGCGGAAAAAGTGCCACGGGTGGATGCCGCTTCGTCCACTTTCGCCGCCTGCGCGAACAGGGAACCACGATTTTGGGGCCGGTGGGTGGTGGTGGTGAGAGCCATGGCCGTGGCCTTCTGTTCCGATGGGATCAGAGTGGAGAGGAAGCTGTTGAGGTCCTCGGCTGGAAGAGGAGCCACGCGGGACGCCTCCAGAGTTGGCGTTTCTCTCGTCCAAGATACGTTCGGCGGCGCGCTTTTCTCGCGCCGCTGCATGGTAGGGCGATGTCATGGTGTGTTTTGGTTGCTGTGTAAGATATGTTGTGAGTGATATGAGTGAAGATTTGTAGTTGTAGACAGGTAGGTGGCTTCCCGGTAGCGCGCCTCCTGTACCAGAGATGTTTGTTTGCAGTTGCTCGTCTCGACGAGCAGTGACCCCCCAAGATACAGCGTCCTTTATTCAGGACCGACAAAATGATGGATTTCAGCAAGGACGACTTGTAAACAGAGGTGGGGAAGAGAGATGAAAAAAGAGCCCAATCGGCAAGCCACTAGGTGAAGGCGGTCAGCACTGGATTAGGTAGGTAGGCGTCACAACCCGACTAAAGTTCAGGTGGAGCAGTAAGCTTGTAAGACGAAAAACCACGACTATGTACGAGGCGAGACAGGCGGGAACTCTTTAATAGGAAGATGCATGGAGAAAACAGGACAGTAGCAAGTTTGTATAAGACGAAGAATGAGGAGGAGGAAGAGTATCAAGACGTGATATTTATGAGCATCCACGTCGGTCTCACTCATTGATCGCAGGACTCACAAGAAGCATACATATCTGATAATTGGACCAGATGACGCTCACAACCCCACGGGAAGGAAAGAGAGAGAGAGAGAGCTGAAGTCAACCCACGCTCATCCTCCCCATTTGCGCATGGTCCGTCGCTGTTAGAAAACCGTTTATCATGGGTCTAGGCTCGAGGTTCGATGCAGGAGCCACCCTGCTCTTCTCACACCAGGGGGACCCCTAGAGGCAGCCAAGCGCCAAGAATCCGTTTGTGCAGACACAGCTGGCTTCCCTTTGGCGAGCGTGGCTCATCGGCGTTGAGTTTCAGGCCAGACTGGGGGGTTTGACTGGGGCTTTTGGGGTGGACGGAGTTCGGACTGGAGGGCTGGGAGACCCAGTTGCAGATGAGGATCCAGACGAGTGCAATCCCATTCGCCCAGCCTTCCATGCGCTAGCTTCAAGTGTGACATCTTCTCTCTTGTTGATGTTCTTCGGCAAATCGGAAGATGGATTTCGAGTGCCGAAAAGCTTAGGTATCGAAGCCTGTGATGTGTAACTGTACACTATACTTGACGGATACGAGGAAGCTAATGGATAGGCAGAAACACCATGGCAGAATCGGCGGCAGTCGTTGTGCACAGATCTCCGCTAAATAAACATCGCGGTGGATCTTCTTTACCAAGTGTACCGACACTACACTAAATCTAGTGTAGAGCCCTCGGCCCCAGCTTGTTAAGACGAGGTTGATCGCTGCACAGCCTATATCCGTAGCATTCGCTGAGTAAACACCATCCAAACACAAAAGCAACAACAAATGTGCAAAACACGTCAAAGCAGTCATCATTTGCCAATGCGGGTCCCATATGTACAGTCCGATGCTGGTTTGTTTGTTAGCTTAGTACATTGGACACTTTTGGTAGTACAATATATATAGGGCACTAGACGAAATCTATTTCGAATCGTCCTAAAGCTTACAACGACAAATACATAGGCATTAACTAGATTTGATCTGGTATTTGAATGTTAGAGATGGCGTATCTATAGTAGGATTATGTATAAGTTAGCCATGAAAACGCATAGGAAAGTTGACACGAGGTCTCGAACCAATAAATAAACCAGTACTGGACTGTACATATCACTTTGGCAGTGCCATGGCGGGTGGCTTTTTTTGGGCTGCACAAAAGTCGTCAGCCAAGCTTCCTTGAAAGCTTGTTCGTTCGTTTTCGTGCAACGTTTTGGCGTGGGACGGTCCCAGGAAGGCATCCCCTTGCTTCATGGCGATGCCCTCATTTCAAGGACTAACCATCATTTGCATGAGTTTGGAGAAACGTTGTGCTTGGAAAAAGTAAACATAAGCAACAAGGACCCCATGGGGAAGATGAAAACATTTCTGGGGTAAGCCGGAATCTATAGTTACATACTTCAACCGGGAATTCCAAACAAGACAACTTCTTAAAGCATACATTTTACATTACATACCTACTCAATGTATTCTCATCACATCGTCAATCATGAATCATCTACCTCCTCTTCCTCATCATCCTGCTCATCATTGACCTGAATCTCAATCTCCTCCCCCGCAAGCCCAATAATCTTGACCGTCTTCCTGTTCCGCGGCGGCACCGGTTTCGCCAAAACCACCGTCTCCACGCCCGCCGGACTGGTCTCCTCCGGCCCCATTGGCAAGCTCTCCACATCAATCTCCTCATCCAACAAGCTCTTGAGAATCACCTCAGCTCCCGCCTTGCTGATAACCGAATTAGCCTCCTTGCAGAGCTCCGAGCACACGCACTCGATGCAACCCTCGCGGCACTGACATGCCAACACCCGACCGAGCGCCTTCCTCAGTAATGTGTCGATAAACTCGAACGCCTTGATGTTGATGCCCGACCCGCCTGCGCCCCCCTTTGCGTCGTAGAAGGTCAGCCGAGCCGGCCGTTTCCGCTGCGTCTCCCGCCTGGCAAACTCTTTGAGGTGGTTCTTGCACTCGGTGCGCACGTCGCCCGGCATGCTCATGACGAAGTTGGGCATGAGGCTCATGATGGCGTGCTGGGCGGCGTGGATGGCTCCGCCAACGTGAAGGCGCCGCGACGTAAGGATTGCGAGTGAAGATTTCGGGACGTCGAGCCAGGTGCCCTTACTGTAGCGGATAACGGGCGGGTTGTCAACTTGGATGGCGTCAAGCACTCGGTTCATTCTATCGACTTTGAAGTAGCCGAAGACAACCTGGGTGATTCTGATGACCCCATGATAGGCGAGGGATTTCGATCCTTTGATGCGCCGGATGGCTTCTGTCTCCACCGGGTCAATGTCCGTGTAATCCCGCTGCTGAGTGGTCCAGTCCACCTTGACCTTCTCGACTCGCGCCATCTTATTGTCGGGGTTGAAGTCCCGTACGAGGTAGGTGTTACCTTGGTGTAGGAATATGGCTCCGTCGTAGATGGTGAAGGTCGCTCGGGATGCCTCCAACTCCTCTAGAACAACGTTTCGGTTGTTCGTGACGTCGACGATGGCGAAATGGTCTTCTTCGATATCGCGTATGGATACAAACTGTGACGGCCGAGGTCGGAACTTATCATGGCAGTGGTAAAAGCCCCGCTCGCCCTTGAGCAGCCGCTCTTCGCAAACCGTTGCTAGATCGTCACCAAAGTATTTGGAATCCTTAGCCGGTAGGATTGGCATTTCGTGTGCCGCGCATTGAATGTGGCCCTCCTTGACCAACATGTTCTCCATGTCTATACTAAGCTCACAGTTCGGTTTTGTGAAGAGTTCATCCGGATTTTGCATGTAATACTGGTCGGTTGCGAAACTGTCCCCAATTAGGACCGACAGAGAGTCTCTATTTCGCCGGCCAGCTCTCCCACTCTGCTGTCTGAGGTTCGCTATTGTGTACGGAAACCCCCAAGTTATGACACAATCTAGATTTCCGATGTCAATGCCAATTTCAAGAGCGGTGGTCGCCACGATGCCCATGAGCTTGCCCTCAAACATTTCAGTTTCTATACGGCGCCTGTCCTGGGCAGTGTAACCGCCTCGGTACCCCATGACTCGAGACATGCATTCGGAGCGGCCTCTGTGCTCCAGTTCTTGTTTGATTGCATTGACCAGTTTTTCGCAGTGTTCGCGTACGCGACAGAATGCGATGACACGAACGCCGCGGAGGATGAGCTCGCAGAACAGGCGGGAACACTCAAACTTGGCATTGCCACGTCCGCTGGACGGATCTCCAGGGTCTTTGTACGGAGTGTTCCAGCAGAGGAACTCCTTGCGACCCGACGGAGAGCCGTTGAAGTCAATGAGTTTGACGTCTTCGACGCCGAAGATGGTAGTGAAATGCTCCTTTGGGTTGGCCACGGTTGCTGAACACGAAATGAAGAGTACATGCGTATTTCCCAACGCTGCGAGGATTCGGCGCAGTCGTCTCATGATGAAGGCAACATGTGAACCCATTAGGCCGTTGTAATAGTGCAATTCATCCACTATCAGAGTGAATAATAGTCAGCAAAGGGTTCCCATTTCCGCAGCCGGCTGAGCAGTTGAACGCTAGGCCTCACTCACCAACAACATATTTCAGGTTTTGCAGAAACGACCTCCACCTTTCCTCCTGGGGTAAGATCGTAATATGCAGCATATCAGGATTCGTGAATATGATGCGTGCATCATCGCGGATGATGTTTCTGTCATGCATTGGCGTATCGCCGTCAAATGTTTCAACGATCATCTCTTCCAGTCCAGGCATAAAGCTCATGACTTCCTTCAGGCTCCGCTTCTGGTCTTGCGCAAGCGCCTTAGTTGGGAAGATGTACATGGCTCGCGTATTCCGGTCCTGCTCAAGGGCATGTATGACAGGCAATTGGTAGATGAGGGACTTTCCCGAGCTGGTGGACGTGGACACTACCACATGACGTCCGTCGTGCAGAGCGTTAATGGCATCAGCTTGATGTGCATAAAACTGAGTAATTCCCTTGGTGTTGTAAAGCGCATTAACCAGATCTTGGCTGAGTAGAAAATTCAGATAGCCGTAAACAGGTTCCTGAGATTCAAAGACTCTATGCCCAGCGGGCACTATCTGGCCCGTGTACCAGGGACTATCCTTCAACTCCTGTACTATCTCCGGAATACCTTTCCTCTCCTTCGGGATGCTTGCGGGCAAGGTGCTGGGTTTCGTCTGGGGGGTTGACGCTCTGGGTGTTGAGGGCCTGGGAACGAAGGGTTCGGACTCGCTCCTGAGTGCCATTTCCGGATCTAGACTTTCTGCAGCACAGCGATTCAAGAAAATGTTGACTGCATTGGCGAACTTGGTGTTCCTCTTTTCTATTAGTGCCGTCATTTGCTTCTGACTATACACAGGCATTTTGACATGCTCATGTCGAAGCCTGCGAGTCGGCTTAGTCGGGACTCCTGTTTTCTTGTCCTGGACTTGCCTCTTGAGATCTTCATCAATGAACTCAAAGTAGAGGACTTCCCGTCCAGATTTCGACTCTTGCTCATCTTCACCGGTATGGTCCGGGCCAGCATCACCTAGTCCTTCCAAGCCGGTCATACCGCCAACAGACGCGTCAGGCACAAAGGACTGAGATGACTTCCCAGCATACCTTCCTGTCTTGAAGGTCTCATCCTTTTCGGCACCCCTCACATCCAGCTGTAGCATTAGCTCATCGACATAGGCAAACTGAATGCTCTCCGGACGCAAAGCTACAATAGCGGCTACATCCTCAATCGTTAATGAGCGCTTTGTGTGCGACTCAACCGTGGACCGTATCGTCTCAAACGTTGTCGCCAGATGCTTTCGGGTAGAGCAAAAGGTGTAGACGAGGTTCAAAGCCCTGTGCGTCTTCTCGAGTTCCTTGAACCACGCCGGCCATTCGATTTCGCTTTCGGCAATGGTAGGCTCGGAAACAAGCTTGGGGGGACGACCTCGCCGCTTCTTTGGTCCCGTTGTTGCTGGGCCACAACTACCGGAACTCTCTTGGGAGTCGCAGCTAGGATTTCCGGCGAAAGCGGCATCGTGCCCCGGCTCCGTCGACGCTTCGGGTTCGGTGGACAGGCGTTTGCGCTTGAGCCCTTTCAGTGGATCAGGAGTAGCATTGGCGCTATGGTGGCTGGAAGCCATGGTTTTCGTGGTTGAGTGGCAAGGGGGGCTTTAATGCGTTCCACCTCTGTCAGTTAAAACCGTTCGATGGCATTAAGCTGGACGTGCCGACTGTCGCCGGGATTCGTGTTCCTGTGGAAAAGGCAGCGAAGACGAGACCAGAACAGTCATGTTCAAGAGGGAGTCGCGTTGTGGCAACTGCAACTGCCGTGTGCTTGCCAACTGCCGTGCGCTTGCCAAGTGCCGTTTGCTTGTCATTGAAGATCACTGCATTTGTTTCCTCTGATGACAGCACGTGCCGCGTTCGCTATCGAACGGTTCAATGTTATTTAGGGTTAGGGTTGAAGATTATCGAGTTCGTCATGCCTTCCAAAAGATGCTCATCGCGACGAGCATGCCTCTTTCACCCACTTTTTATCATCCTCACAACATCCAATCGCAATCAGACGCTGATACCCATGACATCTCATTGGCCAATTCAGGGGCAAACTATGATTTTTCGGATTGAAAACCAGAAACGGAAATCGTGAGCCGGCAGCGAGCGGGCAAGCCGCAACCAACTTCCGTCGATTGCAACATTGGCGGGGATGGGGGCTGGGAGAAAGTTCCTGCCTCGGCTTCGAGAACCTTTCTCTTCTCGGACCTCCCCCGCCACTGGTCATCTGTATGTACTCTGGTGAACAGCAACTTTGGTGAACGCAGATTTGATATACGCAGTCGCACAGCTCCGGGGGCACAACCCTTAACCATCATCATATGCAATGTGTTCGCGGCACCTTCGCTGCTGTGCTTGCCTACATATCGAATAGCTTAGCGAGCCTACTTGAAAACATCATGCTGCACAATCAACCAAGGGAAAGGAAAGGGCGCTCTCTTGCAAAAGAAGGGCATCGAACCGACCCGGATTCTCGCCTCGAAACGAAAGGCCCAGTGGAAATGGTCCGGTCTGTGCCTCCCACCCATGTTTTCTCTTGGTCTGCTACCACCTAAAATCCCTGATCTTGCGGCTGTAGATGGAGACGGCAAATAGCCTCCTGCAGGCTACCCGTTACTGGACTAACCTGTTCTTCGGGTGAATTGATTGTGCGCATCATGTTGTTACACGATACATACACGCCATCACAAGCCTGCTGGGTCGTGAATGTATATAACTCCTCGGTGTCTCGCCGTTACTTGGGGTTCGACCATGTTGATGAGTGACAAGTGAAAGTCCAGCTTCAGCTCTTCCATATCAAACTCGCCAAGAGCTCCCAGGTCCTCTCCAGCCTCTTTTCTTCACTATGTTGTTCTCCATGCTGACGGCCGGCGCCTTTTTGGCTGCCTCTGCCTCTGCTTCTGTTACTGCTAAGCCCGTCAAGAAGCCCTTTGACTTTCTTGTGACCTTTGGCGACAGCTATACGGACAACGGCCGTTTGAATTACTACATCGGCAATGGAGGTAACCCTCCTCCGGCCGGTCAGCTTCACGGCGAGATCAACGTAACCGCCAGCGGTGGTTTGACGTGGAACCAGTATGCCAGTCGTCAAGTTGGGGCCAAGCTTCTTGATTATGCTGTTAGGTACATATACCCTCCCCCCGCCCGTTAGGAAATACCATAGAGTTCTGTTATAATTAACTTTGAGAAGCGGTGCGACCTGCTCCAACAAGATCATCTCGCGGTACTTCAGCGCCATTAACCGGGACTTCCCAGCTGTCTTGGATGACGAGATCCCTTCTTTCGTCGCCGATACTGCATACAGGTCCATCTTCCCCGACAGGACCGCCGACAACACCGTCTACGCCCTTTGGATCGGAACCAACGATCTCGGTGGCGATGCCTTCCTGACCGAGAACCAGCACCCCGGCAAGACCCTGACTGACTTTTCCGAGTGCATCTGGACCGTTTTTGACACCATCTACAAGTCTGGCGGACGTAAGTTTGTGCTGCTAAACGTCGCACCTCTACACCTGGCGCCTCTATACGCCACCATTGAAAACGGCGGATTCTCTGGCCCAAGCCAGTTTTGGGCCGGCAAGTCCCAGTACAACGTCACGGAGAGGAGTGAGAAGATCAAGGAGTACAGCACTACCCTCAATACCGTCTTCAGCTATGGCGCTGCGGTCAACACCAAGCTCAAGTCGCGCTGGCCCAAGGCGACCTTTGATCTCTTTGACGTCCACAGCCTCTTGACTGACATCCACGAGGATCCTGCTGCGTATCTGGACGCTCCTTACAACAGCACCGGATACTTCCACCACTGTCCAGCTTCCGGTAGCAACTGCGTTGATCAGACGAGCCTTGGCCCGTTGACCGGTTTCATGTGGTATGACGAGCTGCACCCTTCCACCAAGACCGGTATGTTTTGACCTTTTTCTTGACTTTATCTTTCTAGCTTGCCATCACCCTGTTGCTGTGATATGGGAGTTGAAGCATGTGAGTATCGCTGACCAGGAAATGCCAGATTCTGTCATTGCAAAGCACTTCCTCGATGTTGTTGCTGGGCAGTCCAAGTATGGCACTCGCTACCAGGGTTAAGCCGTACAAGTCGAAGACCGTGGGGATGAGGGTAGAGATAGGAAAATGAAGAAAAGTTACAAACAATCAGATAATTGCTGTTGAACTTCCCCTTATTGGTTGCGCAAGGTTGAATGTGCTTTACGATCGCTGTCTGCATCTTATGATGATGAAAACACATTACATACGGCGGAACGGGCTTTGTCTGCACATCTGTGCATACAGTCCGATGCTGGTTTGTCTGTTAGCTCGGTACACTAGACATATCTACTATACTCTGTCTACTAGACGAGATTGATCCCGAATAGTCCCAAACGTCGCAATGGCTGTGTACGAATTACAAAGGCATTGACAAGAATTGATGTGGCATATTCAATATCAGAAATAGCCTTTCTAAGGTAAGATCACGCATTAGTTAACTAATGAAAACGTATAGGAAGGTTGATGCAAGGTCTCGAGCTAACAAACAAACCAGTACTGGACTGTACAAAGACCAGCGAATGGTATGGCCATGCATTTCCTTCAACCCCCACTTTTGGATCCCAGTCGCTTCCGGTAAATCCACCCCACTTGAAAAATGCGCTTCCCAAAGGAGCTAGCGCCTCGGTGGCTCCCACTTTTCGCCCTTATTTGCATTCGGGCCACATTGTGGCATTTTCCGCACGACGTCCGCGCAGAGTCGAGTCGCTTTGCCAAATCCTCGCTCGTTCTTCCAACTTGCCAGCAATTACCTGTTAGCAATCGCCGCCCGCCTGTACAGCATTACATACGCATTACATACGGAAACTCTACACACATTACCGCTCAGGCTCAGACTCCAGCTAACAGATTGTCCCTCGGCCCGGTCCCGTCCAGTATCCATCACTCGTCTCAATCGTCGTTGGCTCCCGTCACTCCAGGATACCTTTCTGCTGCACAGCCTGCACACCCCCTTCTACACTACACTACATACATCTCAGACTGTGGCCCTCACCTCGGCCCAGGGTTCCAGGACTGCCCTTCATCTTACCCCATCACTCTAACCCCCTCATCCATCCCGTCCCTAGGTTAGGTAGGGCTGGATGGGTTGAGAGACAGACCCTGCGTCATTCTGTCTTATCTACTTCATACATACTTCGGGCTCGTTATCGGCATCCCCCCTGCTGCTGTTGGGAAAGTTGTGTCCATCTCAGTCTTATCACTTTGTTGGCTGTCTGCACTCCCAGTTCCCGGTACTAACTCTACTCTGTACTGCATCCCTCTCGTTGCCGGGTGCCACCTGTCTGGACCCAAGATCCATCAAAGACCGACGACTTTCCAGACGTTGCCCCGGATAGTTCTGTTTCTACCTACACCCCTCCCCTTATTGTACCTCTTAGGGCTGGTACTACAGGTACCCTACTTGTACATCCCAACTTCCTTCCTGACCTCCACCTTCTATCAAAGAGCAGCGTACCGCTTGGGCGTCTGACAGTCAGGTGCACCGGTATACCTCCCCAGGACACAATATCCAAGGTTACCCTCGCTCTCACACGTCCGTCATTCCGTATCAATTCCGCTCCACACGCCGTTCTGTCTCGTATAGACAACAGGACAAGACGTGCGGTGGTAGACAAGAGTGTGCGTGGTGCGTGGTGGTGAGACCTGCTGAGGCGACTCGAAAACAGGAACCACCCATATCGGCCATCATTAGGGTTTCATCCCAGGTCGAGACTGGTTTGAAGCAACCCGACACATCCTTGGTGGCTTCAAACGGAAGCCCGGGTTCCATCCCATCCTCAAACGTGCCTGGCAAGTGGAAGCAGGTACCTACAACCTACAGGCATCTAAAGCACTGTACGGGCATTACCTGGTTTTGCAACAGGTGCTGCGTTAGGCTTGGGTTCAGGTTGTCGATTGATGGCCTTACCCCTTCCCCACATCTCCATTGGCAGCCGCAAGACATCCCTGATCGAGGTGATCCACGCCCACCTCAGCACGCACGACGTTTCTGTTGTCCGTCCATCGCGTCGTCGCTCCCTTGGCGCTCCAGTTGATCCGTCAACGATACATCACAAGCCATGTACCAGCCCCAATACGGCTACAACCCCAATCCCGCCGCTGGTGCGGGAGCTGGTAATTCAGCTCCTCAGGCACCTCACTTGCAGCCCAGTCCCAGTCGCGGGCCGTCCCCGAGCCAGCAGCAGCATCACCAGCAGATGGTGTATAACAGCCAGCAGCAGCAGCCCGGGCAGCAACACCACCCAGGCCAGCAGCAACCGCAGCAGCAGCAGCAGCAGTTCCACATGGGCTCCCAAGCCGGCAGCAGTCACTTCCCAGCTGCTGCTGCTCCGAGCCCAGGAATGATGGGAACAGGTGCTGGTCCTGCAGGAATGATGCAGAATTCCGCCATGCCGCACACCATGGCTACCACCAATGGTCAGAGTAAGCTTTAACCTTTCCCTCGCGCGCCTTGTTTATCTTTCCACCCACCCCCTTGACCCTGCCTGCCTGGCCTCCTGGACCTCATGCCTATGTATCATTGTCCCGCACTCCCCTCCTTCTTTGGGCCTTCCGCAGCTACTGTTAGAGTTTGTTGCCCCGGTCTTGTTTCTCACTGTATTGGATTGTACCTTTTCTTTGTTTCACGTGCCGGCAAGTTTGCGTCTTACTGCCCACCCGGCGTCTCACGGGTCCTGCCGCGCTTCATCCCAGCTGTTCAAGTTCGTCCTGCGTCTCTCGATGCCTTTCTCCGATTCGTCCCCCTTGGACCCTTTCCCCATTGATTATCAGTCGAGTACCTACCACTACCCATCTTAGCTACGTAGCTGTCCGTATATTTTGGACATGAAAAGGCTGACCGAGTTTGCGGATCAACAGTGGCATTCCAAGCGCCTTACACAAGCGCGCCGTATGTGGCAGCCGTACCATCACCTGTGGCACCTCAGCCGCACCTTCCAGCTAACTATATGATGTCTGCTTCTATGCCCCATTATCCAATGAATGCTGCCTTGTCCCAGCAGCAGCCAATGATGCAACGCATACATCCCTCTCAGCAGAATGCTGCCAACATGTCCGCATCAACACCCCAGCGCTCCTCCAACCCTGCCTCTCAGGGCACCCCAAACAACGCGATGCCCTCCCAGCAGCCAGGTACTTATTCTACGACCCAAGGTCAAGGAGGCTCTGCAAATCAGACACCAACTACCACTCAGCCTCAAAGTGGCTCGGCCGGAGGCACACCTCAAACACCGACGTTCCCTTCTACTGGAGGACAAGGTCAGGTCAATGGGACGCCGATACACTCAGCTCCTCCAAGTCCAGCTACGAGATCGCGTGAAACGGAAAGGTTCGCCGTTTTATTGGAAATCAATCATGAGCTACTGTACGAACTAGCCTGTCTCCACATTAGCCGGTTAGAGATTAAGAGAGAAAAGGAGTTGGCTGGTGAATCGGGTGAGCAGCAGCAAAATGGTGGTATGAGCCTCTCCGAGGAGGAGAAATTGACAGAGCAGGATTATCAACAGTGAGTGGCAACCACGACAAAATGATCAGGAGTTTCGAACTGAACGACTAATCTCGTGTTATAGGTGCTTGGTCAGGGCCAGAACCAACATGGGTTTTATGGGCTCGCTATCACAGCCGGGCAAACAACCCAACGTACACCCGTATCCGGCATATCTGACACCCCCACCCTTACACTTGAATCTCAGGATAAGAGTAGCACAGAACACATCTGCTGAGGACAGCGCGGGCGATGCGCCACCTGACCCGAACACTGATCGCGCGGAAAGACATGAAATCATGACGGATCTCTACAAGAAGCTCCAGTCACTCTATCCGGGCATTGATTATAAAAATGAGCCTCTCTGGAGGGCAGGCACGAACCCTTTAACAGGACCATCGGGTCTTTCGGGACCTGGGTCAATGCCGGGAGGTAACCCTGATCAGCTATCGCAGCAGCAGCAGCACCAGCAGCAGCAAGGCCAGCAAGGCCAACAACAGCAAGGACAGCAGCAAAATTTGCAACAGCAACCTGGCCAACAGCAACAACAGCCCGGACAGCAACTAAATTATCAGCAAATGATGATGCTGAAGCAGCAACAATACCGTGAACAGATGCACCAAAAGCAGCTACAAATCCAACAGCAAATCCAACAGCAGCAGCAGAATGGCCAGCTAGCTGGCGGTGGTGTAGGGTCGAACCACGGAAGTCCGGCTCCAAGCGGACAGCTGCTACAACAAGGCATGAAGACGCCGCAGATGACGCCGCAGATGTCCAACGCCATCCCTCCCGGGATGGCGACACAGCATCAGCAGCCTCAAGGTCAACAAAGCCAACAAGATACGCAGCAATCGCAGCCCGGCACATCGGGGCCGCCATGAGAACTTTGCTAGAAGTCATCCCCGTTAGTTGCCATGAAAGTGAACGAGAGGAAAATCAGAGGCACGTCATATTGAGCTTGTATAACGGTGGACTTTTAGGGGTTTTGGGAGATCGCAGGGCTGAATGTTTGGGTATGTCCTAGAAGATGACGAGAACAAAAGCGAAAAGGTGGGACGTTTGGATTAACGTGACGGGATAGCCGGAATAGAATGAGGCGCGGAGTCTCACACCTTCTTCATGTTAGAAAGAAAAGCCATATATATGTGTTGTGCTTCTGATGGCTAGAGATCGTGCCTAGTTTCGGTTTTCTTGGTGACTCATGGTCACCTTTCACTATAGCGGAATAGACGGTGGGTTTTTGCGTTGCTTTGGCTTTCTGGTAAGTGTAAGACTACTGAAATGCACAAGGTAGACAACAACTTATAAAGTCGTAAGGCACATCCATCCACACCATACCCGCATCAAGGGCACCATAACCTAAGATCCATACAGTAATGTGCCCTGTTAATGCAACTAATTCCGGCAGTATGGGGGACGGCTCGAATCTTTTGCATTAAGGGGGCTTTTGCATTAAGGGGTACCTCACTCACATACAAAACTGGGAATCCGGGCCCAGAAATCGTTTGCATCTAATGGGCCAGTTTGTATGTGTTTGCAAAAGGGGGGCCTTGCATTAACAGGGCACATTACTGTACACAGATTCGCATCACAATCAATCTTGGACTGTTCCATTTAACACATACCTTGTGTGTTTCCGATGATCAAAACTGTGGTCATCCCCAGCGTACCCGACGTCTATATATTTTCAACAAAGCTGCAAAACATGAACATTGGCATCTTATCCTAATCTCCCCTAACCACTGGGAGAAAGACATCAACTCTCGGTATATTGCAGAGTGACGCACGTGGCATGACGCGACGAGGACACGAATGCACTCATTTATTGTTACCTTGAATAGAGCTTCAAAGACGAATTTTCCGGTCGAAAACCATACACTGCACCAACAATCCGTGTTTGTGGATTCTAGGGCAGATCAAGCTGCTTCTGTTCATACGGACTGTGATTCCGCGATGATTTATCGATCCAGGAATTTTATGTACTTCCGTCATGTAGATAGTCCACACTCATGTGGTGGTGTGGTATGCTTTGATTCTTCTCATCAAACTAACGTTACCTTGCAGCATCTTTGTTTATGCGTTGCCAGGCCGATGGAATGGAATTCCCGTCCATGGAAACGCCAAGAAACAACCTGTTCTGATAAACCACGCTTAGGACCACCACCGATGAGGCAGGAGGTCACGACCTGTGGCGGCTGTCAAAGTCTGTCCCTGGTTCCCTGCAGCAGTGCTGGCGCAGTTGCAGCACTTGTTTTCTGCCGGGCAGGACCTGGATGCAACGGTCCCACCGCCCACTGCAAGCTTGTGCAGTGATTGTGGGGATTGGCTCTGTGCGGCCGAAGCTTCTCCCATTTCTCGTCCAATCATTCAGTCCTACTTGCACCGCTTGCACAGACTTGGGTACTTGCATGCTACCCATGCGGAGATTGTGCGATTGATTGGTTGGAAATTTGACGGTTGCTGTCCCGGTTGTTTTTGGTATGCCGGTGATGCTTGTCAAAAAGGGGGTTGGTGACTGCCAGGAGGTGGTGACGAGGGGGACGGTGATGTTGAGGACAAAACAAAAATCAAACAAACAAAAAACATGTGGAAGTTGACTCAGGAAGAAGACTATCCGTTTGATGTTCTCAATGATATGTATCGGGGCCCACAAATAGACACTATGGAGTGAGCGACTTGGGACAATAATAGCATTGTCGTAGGGAGGTAGGATATTTAACAAGTGATTTATGGAGCTATGCGGTGAAGGAAGCCAGCCAGCCGAGCCAGGAACACCAGGGGCCGGGACGAGGCACGGGACGGTGGGACCAGGGGGTGAGACCCCGCCGGCCCGGGCCCTCGCCCATTGAGGACCCGACTTCCATGATCGGACAAGACCGACCGATCTTCTTCTTCTCCAGTCGGCCGTTGTCAAAAAAGTGTCACCACCACACGGGTCTAACGGGCTACGTGGATTCGGTGACAGCGAGAGGCTTGGAGGGGGAAATCGGCGATTCTCTGTCCGTGAATGAATGTGGGCTTCATTGGCGTATGTAGTGCCGTGATGAGACGTATTTACGCTTAATCATTCAGTCAGATGCGTTCGAGTGTCTCGGTGGATGCCCTGTAATTCTGCGAGAATTGGATGAAATCAGGGGTGCTTCCAACTTGGCCCAGACATTTGCACACTGTCTGGTGCTTGAGCCCCTGAATCCGACATCATTCTGTTTCTCTTTGGTGACTTGTGCCGCCAATTGTCCTCCTCCTTCCGTCTTGGAACTGCAAGTGCGCGTTTCTGGACAACAACAACAAAATCGCCAACCTGTGCACAACCGCTTCCTCCATTCTGTACTTACTTTCTGCAAGATCCATCCAGCGCTTTGAGAAAGGAATCAACTAATCACGCTGCGGGCGGGTCGAGTCGCGCGGTTTCAGCATCCAACGTTCTTGGCCGTTCGCTGAAACGATAACAGCGAAGCACCAGCCAGTCGCGCGCCAAGAGCTAGCCACATTTGCACCCATTCGCCCCGGGCGGTTCTGGCTTCTGAAAAGGCAGGCTAACGAGACGAGGACATCCACACCAAACCAAAATCCACTTTCCTTCGTGCCGTTGGCGAGACGCTCATCCTTGTCTGCCTCTTTCCCTTGTTGAGCCGTCGATTCGGAATCATCTGGGCAGAAGCTTTCCGCTTGCTCTTTGCCTTCTGTCAGCGTTGGAAGTGGAAAGCGACTCCTGCGAGAAAGAAAAATCTGATCACTTGTTGTCCCACGGTTAGTTGTAAGGAGAGTGAGAACGTGAACAAAACCCGAGCCACAAGTCGGTACCGTCTGCATACAATAAGTACCTTGACTTGAGCTGGGAACCCCCCTCTTCACCGACTCAATAACCCGACCGGACGAACGAACCGAACCATCACGGTACACAGCCAGGATTTTGATTTTACTCTTTTGGAGTGGCAGCGGGACTTGGAACCCGCTTGCAGAGACGAAGACAGACGAACAACACGCCAATTTGGTTCCACAACCATAAACGAGCAGCCCGGAATTTTCACAGCAAGAATTAAACCAAACCATAGAAGACCTGCCGACTTGACATATCAACAACAACAACAACAACAACAACAATCTTCCTGTCGAGGCCCATTTTAGCTTTAAAAAGAAAAAAAAAAAGCTGTGGTGGTCGACGCTGCGCGCTTGCACGACCTGCCTGTCGACCCGCATTGTGCCACCCTCCGGCCTTGTCGAGTTTCACCGCCCCTCGATCTCGACCCCAAATTACACCAAAACGGCCACCACAAAAACATGGAGTTCGATCGCAAAACACGGGACAGCAGGCACGACAGCAAATATGATGATCAGGAAGAAACGTCAAAGTCGCCGCTCCCATCATCAAGTCCATCCGGGACCAATTCCTCTCCGATCGAGCTAGAATCTGACAAGCAGAGGACCATGGAGCACGACTCCCTTGTTTCCGTCCGCCTCTCTGGGTCTTCGAGGTCTTCACTCCAAATCGACACGAATGTTTCCCCACCACGAAACAATGTCGGGGGCCTCGAAGACTCACCCTGCGCGTCGCCAACCGATGATGCGGAGACCGAAACGATCAAGGAAGAAAAGAACGACGAGGATCGTCATGACGAAGTAAAGACGCTGGCGTCGACATACAGCCCAAGCTTGCGGGAAGAGCTTGAGAGCGTGCAAGAGGGCGATGAGGAAGCGGAAGACGACAACGATGATGCACGCAGTGAGGGCTCAAGCGCTGAATCTGAGGATGTGAATTGGGACGATCTGCAAAAGAAAGAAGATGAGCAGGTCAAAGAGCAAGATGTAGATAATGTAAGTTGCATGCATGCAGCTATGGCTGCTGACGTTTCCCGTTCCTGAAATAGTGCGACACCAGCCTATCTTTGTGGCTTACCCGTGCTGACACTGCCGCCCTCACAGACACAGTCGACTGCGATGCTGCTAGCGAAACTGGAGCAGGAAAACAATAAGATCGCGACAAATCCCAAGAGTGTCAAGGTTGCCGCCGTGGAAAAGGTCGCTTCGCCTGGCCGCAAACCGAGACCACCATCCATGGCGCAGCTACGACAAATGGTCAATGGACCAACTCCTCCTGCTCTCAGATACTCGGTCCTGCCACCACCGCCCATGACCGAGCTCGAATTCTACATGGCCCTGGTCAAAGATCCGAAGCAGACGGCAGCCAGGCTTCCCACTCTGCTCTCCAACAAGATCAGAAAGGGCATCCCGCCGCCGCTGCGCGGTGTGGTGTGGCAGAGCATGTGCGGTGCTCGTGACAAGGACCTCGAGGACGTGTTCGAACGGTTATCTGGCGAGTCAAGCCCATATGAGGGCATCATTGGCAAAGATCTCGGACGAAGCTTCCCCGGCGTGGAGATGTTTAGGGATCCCGAGGGCGACGGACAGCGCATGCTTGGTCGTGTGCTCAAGACGTTCAGTCTGTACGACACAAAAATCGGGTACTGTCAGGGACTTGCGTTTCTGGTCGGACCCTTGTTGATGCACATGCCGGATAAACATGCATTTTGCGTTTTGGTTAGGTAAGTCGGAGTTGCTGCACCGTTGGGATTGTGATGGACATCGGATCGTCTTTGGCGGTAGCGAAAAGTCGACCGATTCCGGAAATGAGTGGCCGATCAGCTAACACGTGCATTTAGGTTGATGGAGAACTACGATCTGCGCCATTGCTTTGTGCCCGACCTGTCCGGACTGCACGTCCGAATCTACCAATTTACCGAACTGCTGAAGCAGCATCTGCCCGTGGTGGCGGACCATCTCGAAGACTTGGGCGTTGAACCGGCCTATGTTTCACAATGGTTCCTGTCCTTCTTCGCGGTGACCTGCCCCCTGCCCATGCTGTTTCGCATCTACGATGTGATATTTGCGGAGGGGGCCTCGGAAACGATTATGCGAGTAGCGCTGAGTCTGATGCGCAAGAATGAGGGCCGCATCCTGGCGTGCACGGAGATGGAGGACGTCATGCAGCTGCTTTTGTCTCGCGGCTTGTGGGATTGTTACCACTACAATGCGGACGAGTTCGTCCAGGACTTTGTCGCATTGTCGGACGTGGTCACCCGGGAACGAATGGCATTGCTCGAGCAGGGGTACCGGGAAGCCAAGATTCCTCCAAGCGCCAATCCCAAGAGCGAAGATGCGCCAGGGTCTGATGTTGCAACAGCAGCCTCCCGCTTTCTGGGTCGCTTGTGGGCTTCCTCATCAACCCCGAAATTGGCCTCTTTCGCGTCGGCAGTTCAGGGGTCCTCCACCGCGTCCTCGTCTTCGCCCACCACCATTTCGTCTGGTAGTACCCTTAGCCCCGGTCTGTCACGTCCCCTCAGCATGCTCCGCCGCAGCACATCGAAACAGAGTATAGCTTCTACATTCAATTCCATGGAGGCTGCATCACAGTCATCATCAGCGTCGTCGTCGGCCAGTGTCTTGAGCTCTGCTTCGACCGAAGCGACGTCGGTCCAGTCGCGCGACAGCTCCACCACCGTCGACCACGATTCATCAAGGGACTCGGTGGCTCTTGGCAGCAGCGCCGCTAGCACCAAGGCCAAACAGGCGCACTTCTCGGTTACCCCCAGCCTCTACCAAGACGACCGAAAGCACCTGCACACACAGATCGAGGACCTGCTCACCGCCCTTAGCGAACTACAACGGAACCATGCCCTGCTGGCCAGCCAATTGCAGAAGGAAAGAGAGGAGCGCGAAGAAGATCGCCAGGCTGTCCGCTCGTTGCTCGACGGTCTACGAAAGAAGGCGAACCCTGCACAGTCGTATGCCGCGGCAGCAAGAGAAGCCGAAGAAGACGACGAAGCACCGAATAAAGATGTCGAAATCGATCTCAGCCCCGAGGAGCTGTCCGACCTGCTCGACTTTGTCGCCGACCGATTCAGCGAAGAAGATCCCAACAAGGCGGCAATACCCCAAACCAAGGAGCAGCTGCACGAGGACCTTGTACGAGTAAGAGAGCAATTATCGAACGAACAAGCAAAGACACAAGAATGCAACCGCAGGATACACGATATGGAGCAAGAGATGGCTACCATGAAAGAACAACTGAGGGAAACCCACGCCCATGTGCGCAACATGCATGCGGAAAAGCAGCGCCTTGAGCGCCAAATCCACGGCATGCGGGTTAGAGCCTCAGATACCACGCCTTCCTCGGAAGGAGGCGACTGGTTTGGGCGCTCATCGGTGGGCGGCAGCAGCGTGTCCGGCAGCGGTCTGCGCGAGTTGAAGCTCGTGCGCAGCAAGTCCTCGCCTGCGCCACCTCCCGTGTATCCTACCAAGCGATCCTCCAGCATGATGACTACCTCGACGCTGGCCTCCACCCACAGACGCAATACTAGCAATTCTACCGCCATCTCGGCAATGACCTCCAACTCCCCTCCGGCTCCGGCGCCCGTCTCTCTGGCAGCGGCAAGCCCCGCCAACACGGGTCTGGCCCCGACCAACGAAAACGATGCGCTCTTGCTCGAGCTCGTGCAGGCCAAGACGGCCGAGGCCATGGCCAAGCAGGAGGCGGAAGAGGCGAGGCAACAGCTCGAAAGGATGCGCAAGGCATTTGGGCTGGCACCAGGTGAGATGCCGTCGATGAACTCGCAGTCAGCGCATAATAGCATGGCTGGCATGTTTGGGCGGTTGACTGGCCCTTCTACGCCTGATGGCGGCCCCGGGTTGCAGAAGGTGGTCACCTCGCCGCCGGCGACGTCAGCTGGGAATACTGCCAGTGGCGCTAGCTTTTGGGGTTGGGGAAGGAAGTGAAGTATTGGGGTCGAAAGTGAACCATCTGGATAAAATGCATGGGATAGAGACAAGTGACAGGATCATTGTTTGACGTGGTTGGAAGAAGGAGGATTGTATCTTATGCATACCAGGTGGAATAGGCCTAACAAAGGTGGATCGGGGGTTGACACAGGCCCAGGTGATATTTTTCTACGTGTAGACAGTACTCGATCAAGAAAGAGTTTGGACTGGAGTGGAGGAAGGGAAGAAGCGGCGGCGTCCAGGGCTTCATCACGGTATGTCATCATCACTTATCATATTGTACGTATCGTTTGAACATTAAAAAGGTACATACATAGAGTCTTTTGTTGTCTCTGTTCTGGCTTTCGGGAAAGCCTATCATCATCTTTTACATCATGACGGAGTCCCGAGAGGACACTTTGGGTTTTATCATTTTCACATGTTCATATAGTTCAAACTCATTGTCTCAAATCACTAAAAGTGTCCTGGGTGAAGCCTAAGACGTGTAACGAGCCTTGTAAGAGACGCCATTTACACATTGTCTTTCCGTTCTTTCTTTCCTCTGGGTCCTCTCGCTACTCGGGAAGTTTCCGGACAAGGGTAGTGGGAATGGGATGATGCGATTGTAAGTAACTAGGCACGAAATGGGTTCATATCTCGCTTGATATCGCTAATCGGTCGGTTCCCACACTAAGGAATCAGGAAAAGGTCGTAAGGTACCGTATGTAGTTAGGGAAAATATAGCTGGTAAATGAGATGCCCTTCACCGACTCGCTCTCTGAATTCGCCAAATCAAACTGGCCAACAGCCGTCCCTGCATGGCTGTCAGTGAGGGGAGAAGGGTTAGGGTAGGGGTCTGGGGCGTCTGTGAGACTGACGAGGGCAAGATAAGATGGAGGGAGCAAATGAAATAAGTGCAATTTTGTATGCGATCTGGTTTGTGCGGTGATGGCTCTTGACCGGTTGTGTTTAACGACTCTATCTGCTTTGCGTGTTTGGCTGCCTGTCGGTAATCGGTCTTTTTTTTTTTTTTTTTTTTTTTTGTAACGGCGAGATGGGTCCTTTTTGGTAGCGCGGGAAAGCGGCTAGAGTGGCTCATACATACCATGTATACTTTGGTGGTGATGAAAACGCCATGGAAAGATGTGTTGATGAACTTCCCTTTCTGGAAAAGTTGAAAGAATGTAGCCGAGCTGCCTGCTTAGGCGCTCGACCGGTCTAGAGCGGCGGCTAGACTGTCGTGTCTCAATCCCAAACACCGAGAAGGTGAAGTGACCAGTCAGGTGGTTCCAAAAAGAAACTAAGCAGGTTGGTCAATTGCACTCCTGACCACTATCAAAGAGAAGAATACTGCCCAGTCTCTAGCCGCCCGTGCGAATGACAAACTAGGTCCAACCGAGAACCGAACCCATGAAATGCGTCAACATGCAAAGAAAGAACTTGAAGGTAGTGTAGAGGTAGGAAAACCTGTCTCACAGTGCCCCCAGTTGTCGTCCACTCGAGAAGTGACGTTATTGGCGTGGATGGTGCTTCTACTGGCTTCTTGGCAGGATTGACAGGGTTCTTTCTCAATTGGATTTTTCTGTTAGTGTTAGTGCCAAATTTCACATGCCATTCATGACGCCTATTCTTGGAGTCTGTCATGTTCCAGGCTATGCGGTACCTCCACCACCACCCACACCAATCCATGGCGGGGAGACTTGTCGCGTGCCCCTCGAGGTGGACGTGGGTGGGCTGCAATGTTACTGCATAGTACAGTACCATAGCATGTAGGCAGAAGCTGGGGGAGGAAGACTCGCAAAGAGGCTGGATGGTACGTTTGAAGAGAAGGGGAAACACTTCAATATGGGCTATTACTACCTGGTCATTTTGGCTGTGGCTGCTGGTAGCGAACGTCGTATTAGGGGCTCTGTTTCGAGGTTTGAAGGGGTGTAGCAACCAGCAATTGTTGCACCATGTTTGAGACGATTGTAGTGTAGACGTCATCCGCAAGGAGGGTTCGAGTTGTTGTTGTTGTTGTTTACACTAGTACTAAGAGCTTTCACAACTTTTGTTCTCGAGACTTCCGAGCTCGTCTCCCCAGCCTGTTTTTCACTTGGGTTATGGATAAAAGGGTACTTCGGAACGATGTGCAGACCCTCCTGGAAGCACAACATGGCCGAGACAAAGTGTGGGCAGGAAAACGGGAGGTCTGATAGGGTGACGGCAAACAGTGACACACTTGGCCTGCCGTTTTTGTGGCATGATGAGATCATTCATAGAATCCGGTCTGGAGGAGGTGCTGCGCCCTTGGCCCGTGCCCTGCGCTCCTTCTCGTGTAAGATGTGTGCTTCTCTCGTCGACGGTGGGGTTCTTCCTGCGTTTCCTGCGCGTTGCCCTATCTTTGTTTGGTGGGGCTACCCTGCAGCTTTGGTGTTTTGGGTGTCAGCGGCCCCACTAACAGTGCCGCTGCTGGGTCCAGCTTGCAGGTCTCCCGTTGCTTTTGATGGACGATTGCGCTTACAGAGTTCCCGCCTGCCGTCGTCACCTTGTTTTTTGGGGCGGGCCGTAAGACAAAGTTCCGGTTATAGTGTACGATCCGCCGGTGACTACATCCTCCTTCTCGCTCTGTCAATTTCTACTTTCCATTCTTCTTTCCCTCAATCCTTCAGAACTCAAACCTGTCGAAGACCTCCATCTCGACTTCTCCGGCTAAACACCACGACCTCGAAAGCAAACTATCGAGCAGTGAGTTCTACCCTATCCATCCATCACCATCCTACCGCAAACGCCCATCGACACACAACCAAACGAGTACGGGTCCGCGCTCGTTTGAATTCACCCGCCCGCTTCCTGTTCTTTCAGTCTAGTGGTTTGTTTCTGACTGTCTTCCCCGGTTGTTGTCACAGAATCTCTTGACTTGACAGCTTCATCCTCCATCCGCGAATCTTTTCTCTGGTCAACAACCACCAAGAAACAAGCAACAAACTTTGCACCACACGTTATCAATAGCAGGGACATCTAAATACCTTTACAATGGCCGACGACTACTCCAACGGCTCGACTGACCTCGATGCCCTCAAAAACAGTAAGGTACGTGCGCTGCTCCAGCTTGTGCGAGCTTCTCCCCTCTCCTTCAAACCAGCGATAAGGGCCGGCCGCTAACGATTGCGTCAGTGTTCCACAACAGCTTCCAATACCACCAACACCAGCGACTCCTTTCGCCATGACATCTCACAATGCAGAAACTGACTTGCATCCCGATAGACGCTGCTTCTGCATATGATGCCGTGACGAAGGGTATGTTCAATCTCTTTTCCAGCAGTATTCCCGCTCTCAAGCTTCTGGCTGGTGGAGAAAAGCTAACGATGACGTTGTGTTCTAGGCCCCGTCGCTCAGAACGTCGCCGACCAGTCCGCCAAGACTGTCGACGAGCTCTCCAACCTTTCTGCGTCTCGTCGCACTCCCTCGACCCCCGCGGCTACTGGCCAACCCTTGACACACTACCACTCGTTCTTTTCCGAGCTGTTGTCATGGAACAACCCTCGTACGTTCACGTCAAGGATCCGCAGAAATTTCCGGAGTCCTTTTGCTAACAACAGTTATCAGGTGCCTCTGCCATTGCTTACCTGAGCATCGTCGCTGCCATCTTCTCTGTTAGGTACCTTGATATGCTCCGCTTGGGTTTCAAGCTCACTTGGATGGTCCTCGGTGTTACCGTTACCGCCGAAGTTGCCGGCAAGACCATTCTCAACCAGGGCTTGGCTACCCAGCTGCGCCCGCGCAAGTATTACACTGTTTCCAAGGAGACTCTGGATAGCGCTATTGGCGATGTTCATGAGCTCGTCAACTTCTTCGTCATCGAGGCTCAGCGTATTCTTTTCGCTGAAAATGTCTACGTGTCCGGCCTCGTTGCCATCGCCGCTTTCTTCGCCTATTATCTCGTCAAGATTGTCCCCTACTGGGGTCTTGCCCTGATTGCCACCACTCTTGCCTTCCTCGGCCCCCTCGTCTACAAGACCAACAAGGAGTTTATCGATGCCCAGCTTCACCGTGCTAGCGAGATCATCGGCGCCCAGACTGCTCAGCTCAAGACCGTGGCTCAGCAGAACACCGAGAAGGCTACCCAGCTGACCAAGCAGTATGTTGGCGAGTATACCGCCAAGGCCCAGACGCTGGTTAGCAAGGCTACTCCTGCCTCTCTCCACGGTGAGGAGCACACCAACGGTCATGCCAACAAGTCCGAGCTCCGCGACGCCGATTTCCCTCCCGCCCCCCAGGCCGACATCAAGACCGAGCCTGTTGTTCCCGTCACTGTCAAGAGCGGTGAGCAGCAGCCTCTGCTGATTTAGGCGAACTTCAATGGTTAAACCTTCTACGGCAAAAATTATGCTGTGGTCGGCTTTACACTTTACCTAAATACTCCATGGCCGGCAAAGTCCGGGATTCCATGATCATGATACCCCGTTGGTATGGCGCGGTGGCTCATCTTCAACCAGAAGTTGTTGTTTAGTCGCCAGCTCGCGACCAGCAAAGAGCCAAGTCGAGTTGGTGGAGGAGACAAATAGACGTTAGCAATGGATGAGTTGGTGGATGAATTGAGTGGTTTCTTTCTAGTATTCATTTTATCATACCCTCGTGGCAAGGAATGCATGTGGAAACCCGGCGAAGAAAAGGGTGAAGATGGGATGGTGTGCTACCTGATGATGGATGATGACTTCCGCGAACTTAACGAGCACAAACGAGGGTGGAATCGCGACATTTCATTTTCCTGGGTTTCCGGAGTATTGGGTTATTGTCTATCTCTTTACCTTAGCAAACTCCGTACTTGTCATATTGTTTATACCGAACTTTCGTGCAATATCTTGAAAGTGCGGAACGTTGATTGTTTGACAGCGCTTTGCACCATGTTTAACCAGCACACAGAGTGCTCATAGGTGCAATGTGGAGTATGTTTAAACCATCAAAGGTTGTATAGTGTAGCGGTTATCACTCCGGATTCTGATTTCTTCAGAACATTCCGGCAACCCCGGTTCGATTCCGGGTACGACCTAACCTTTTGCATTTTTTGCCGCAAGGTCCACTATGTTGAGCTGATCCTAGATTTTCATTTTGATCGTATTTACTTTTTCGGTCGCAAGCTGAGCGTAGTGTTGACTTGTATGTACAGAATGTTAACTAGGTAGCAAGGTGAATGCACTTTCCCAGACTTCCGGTCCTAGTTGTAACGGAGTATGGTAAAGCAGGGTGAGAACAGTATATTGCAGTGTCGTGTTCCTTTGTTCTGAACCTACTACTTCCCCAGTTGATTACTTGCCAGGACCGAATATGGGGAATAAAAAGAGCTTAAGTACTTTCAAGTTTAGTCTAAATATTCTTCTAGTCTAGGAACAGCTCGCTCGACACCTGATGACCACATTTACTCCCCCCCAACCTCCTTCAACGCCTCCCTCAACGCTCCCAAGCACCTTGTAACCTCCTCTTCCGTACCCACCGTAATCCTCAAGCACCCCTCGCACCCGTGCTCCTTGCCTCTGAACCGGACCACCACTCCCTTCGTCTCGGCCAACTTCTGATACACCTTCAGCGCCGTCTCGTTGCTCGGCTTTCCCTCCTTATCCAGCATCTCGTACAACAAAAAGTTGCTGCTCTCACCGCCCGCCAACTTGCCCACGCCCGGAATCTGCGGCAGCTCCGCCACCAGCCTCTCCCGTTGCTGGATGAGCCTCTCCTTGTTCGCACGCATCACCTTCAGGCCGTCCGGCCCCAGCGCGTAGCTGGCCAGCGCGCTGGTCGGCGAAGAGATGTTGTAGGGAGCCTTGAGGCTGTTCAGCAGCCTGGCGATAGGGGGGCTTGTGAAGGCCGCTCCCAGACGGATGCCGGCCAGGCCGAACGCCTTGGACAAAGTCTGCATGACAACCAGGTTGGGCCACTCGTTGACCCACTCGGCCAGCGAGGCCGACTCGGGCGCAAAGTCAATGTAGGCCTCGTCGACGACCACGACGCCGTTCCAGGTCGGGTGTTCGAGAACCTTTTGGATGTCTTCCTTGGCGAGAAGGGATCCTGTGGGGTTACCCGGCGAGCAGAGGTAGATGATCTTGATGTTGGGTTCGGTCGACAGCGTCTCGAGGACGCGCGGCACGTCGATGGCGAAGGAGGGAGCGGGGAGCAGCGGGACCTTGACGAGTCCGACGTCGTTCACCTGAGCGGAAACGGAGTACATGCCGTAGGTGGGCGGGCAGACGAGGATGCGGTCGCGGCCGGGAACGCAGAAGCACCGCAAGAGAGCGTCAATGGCCTCATCGGAGCCGACGCCTACGCAGAGGTTCTCGGGCGTCAGAAGCTTGGAGGTGTGCGCGTGGGTCGTGCGCAGCGAGCAGAGGAGCTGCTTGAGGTCCCGTTGGTGAGGGTCGGGGTAGCGGTGCAGGCCGAGGAGATCAAGCTCGGGACCACTGGAGCCGGAGCCGGTAGCCAGGTTCTGGGGAACGGGAGGCCCATAGGCGTTCTCGTTGGCGTCTAGGAGGATGTTGGTGCCATCGTCCTTGTAGTCACTGAGATACGTGTGTTAGTCGATATACTTCATGAGAGGTCAAAGACAGACAAGTTTTGGGGGTGAGCTCACTCGCGCGCGCAGCGATAAGGTTCCAAGGCGAGGATGTTTGGCCTGGCGCAGGTCTCGAGATTGAAGGGCGACATTTTGTGAATGACTGGCTTGTGATCGACGAATAAATGAATGAATTATCAAGGAAAAAAAACCAGAATTCTAGAACGAATGTTCTCGCTCTTGATTCTTTCACGCAGGTTTTTATGAAAACCCTGGGCGAAAGTGAGGTGTGTGTTGGCGTAAAGAGTCACTTGAAAGAGTCATCTTGAAAATCGTCTCAAAACGGCTCAGGGCGAGTTGCGAACCGGTTCGTCCCCACTCCGGAAGGCCTGGCCCCTTATCAACGGTTCCAGTTTTTGTTTGGGAGTAGATTTCAGCCACCATAGATTCCGATTACTAAATAGAAAAACATAGCTCAGATCGCATGTTTAGGGGAATCAACGATTAGTTGCCAATACCAATTAAGACTTTAATCTTGTACGTTCTTCTCGTTGCAATGGCACGCGAATGAGGATGTCATCCAACTAGCACCGGCTTCAGTTGCATCCTGGGAAGTACTACATGGGGTTAGGGTTATCAAGGACAAAGGGCTCATTAACGTTACCCTTGAACTTTGGACATTGTCCGGGATCTTGAGCTTCCTATTGGATGAAAATATGGTCCGCGAAAAAGACCAAAGAACAACAGAAAGGCAAGAAAAAACATAAATCCAAACAGACGAACAAATTGAGAAGATAAAATAAAAGATCAAAAATGAGGTTATTTATTGACAATACTTTCGTTGGCGTCATCTTCGGACACGGAATCCGCGTCTGAATCCGAGTACTCAGGCTCATTCGGATCATAATCCCACGTCGAGGCCGGCAAGTATCTCACAAAAGCATCAAAACTCGGGCGTGGTTCTGGTTCCATACAGGTATCATCCAACACGCCACTACCAGAACAACCCTCCCGTAGCGTCCTCCATGTCCTCCACTTCATCACCCACTCCTTCCAGACTTTCAAGGCCGCTGCGACCTCCGGTGTTAAAGTGCGGGACGGTTTTGTGGGTTTGGGCCGCTCCAGAAAAGAAAGCAACAAGTCGTCCATGCCAAACCGAGGTCTTGGCTCCCCGTCGACATAAAAAGTAATGTCATCAAGGATGCTCTCATACAGCATCAGACCGAAGCCTCGCGACAGCCACCCGCCAAAGTCAAGTAAGGCCCAGAGCGTATTAGCAAGGTACAAGCCATAGCGGTCGGCGTGGCCAAGGGTGTCACGGCGGCCCGCGTGGATATGCATGCCTCTAACGGTTCGCAGGTCGGTCGGGCCTGTCCATGTGTATTGAGCAAAATCGTCGTCATCGTCGTTAGGCGGCGGTCCTGGGAAAATATCCTCTTCCCCCTCGGCTCCGTAAGGGAGGTCCTCGTTGTGGGCAATCAAGAACCGTTGTGCACCACGGTCTGCTCGCTCCCATCTTTCCTCGTCCGTCTCCGTTTCCTCCTTGGATGTTACGCTGATTATGAGATGTCGGAGTGAGTATCTGGGAGGGCTTCTGCTTCTTGAAGAAAAAAGACTGCCGCGATTTTTTCTTTGATAAGCGGGAGAGCAAAGGCCCCGAGGTCCCAAGGCCAAAAAAGACACTAACAGGCGGTAAAAGTTCCATGAGCCGGGAGGGGGATTGGGGTAGTACTTGTCGTTTGCATTAAAGTTGGACGATATACCGTGGAAACGGCGTAAGAACTCCCCCTGTCTTCCTACTGTTTCGACCTCATCGTCGATGTCCTCTACGTCCATTATGCGGAATGATGCCTGGAGAGTGTCGAGGTTGAACTGGCTTGGGAGTGGACAACACACCCAGGTTGGGAAAATGCCGCATTTGGGGATGAAGACGATGTCGATCTCATAGGGGCGGGATTTTTGGGCAGCAGTAGGTGAATGTAGTAGATACTGGACGTCATCGCGTAGGATCCGGCATGTTAAGAGGAGTGGTAGAGCGGGTGGTTGAGGTGATGTGGCTGGTATCCAAATGTCCCAGTCATCGCGGAGCCGGACACGAGGAGGATCTTGGTAGAATAGGTCGAGGTGGTTATAGAGTGTTGCTGTTGGTGTCCAAATCACAGAGGCTAGGATTTTGTGGCGGAGTTCGGGTGGGAGGGTGGTTAACGACATGGTAGTCTATGAGCGTTGCGTATGGATAGGTGAAGAAAGGGCTCCCTTTATTCTGGGGACCCCGTTGTAACAAGAAGAAAAAGAAGGGGTACCGCGGACCGTAGAGTTTCACCGCAAATCAAGAGCGCGGTTATGTGGGATCGTGGTCCAGGGAAAATTGGTGACAATGTTGGAGAAAGGACAAGCCGTCCACTTTATACGCATGCGCCTTTCATGCCAAGCATTAAAACGACTGTTGGGGAGTTCCCTATAAGGGGACTTTCACGGGAAAGATTGCATTCTGTGTGCTCACTACGGGTGCAGTCATCATTAGCCACATGGCATGCTACAGTTACTAGCAGAGATGGGGAATTGTAAGGGGTAGAATCTTGGTAGTTGGTATCTCGAACTAACACTGCTTCATTAAACGTAAACGCCGTCAACCTCATAAAAGGACATCCCCCTTATAATGGCCTCCTCTCCTCCTATTCCCAAACTCGTCTTGATCCCGATCGACAATCCCATCAACAAAAGAGAGTGGATATCCCATAAAAACGAACAGACCGCGGTGAACAAAGGGAAAGTAAGAAAAATCAAAGAAAGAAGGTCCCATCAATACCTGACAGTATTCGGACTTTCATATGGATCCCTTCCCATACTATTTCCATATCCCCCACCACCCCCATGAACACCATGTGTAGTACCATGTCCATAGGGATCCATAGCTCCCATCTCGTTCGCCTCTTGGTACCCGCCCCCCATCATACCACTCTCCAATCCTCCCGCCGTATTCGTCGCGGCATGAACATCCCTCCACTGCTGCCTACTCTTCTCGGCATCTCTCCTCGCCAGCTCTGCCACATACGTGGTCTTGGGCATCCACTTCTTACTCTTCCTCGGACTGACCTCCTCCATCATCTTATCGATCTGCTCCAACGTGAGTCCCTTCATTTCGGGGACCAAGAAATACGCAAACAGCATCGAAAAGATACACAGGCTTCCCCAGATGAAGAAGATCTTGGGGCCCAAGTTTGCTGAACCCTTTGAGTTACCGACCATGTAGGGAGCCACGACGGCGATGATGCAGTTCCAGAACCAGTTACAGGCCGTAGAAATGCCCACGCCGCGCGAGCGGATCGGTAAAGGGAAACACTCGCCGATGACGACCCACCCCGTGGGGCCCCACGTAGTGGCGAAGAAGAAAATGTTGATGCAGATGCAGGCGATCATGCCGCGGACGGCGGCGGGGTCGTTGGCGTCGATGCGCCCGGCCGTGACGCCGACTATGGCGACGATGTATTGCATGATGATCATGCCCATGGCGCCGTAGATGAGCAGGAAGCGGCGGCCGAGATACTCGACGGCTACGAAGGAGATGGGGGTGGAGAGCACGTTGACGAGGGTGGTGACGAGGGAGATGAAGAAGGGGTTGGAGATGGTGCCGAGTTGTTGGAAGAAGGTAGTGCCGAAATAGAAGATGAAGTTGATTCCTGGGAAGAAGCGAAAGGTTAGTTTGGTGTCAACATGACATCTAGAAATTATATATCCCCTATGATCCCTAGAGGCCAAAGAGAAAGGTTACAGAGAAACCGAAAGAAAACTTACCAGTGAGTTGCTGCCACATTTGCAATCCACAACCCAAAATGATACGACGTATGTTGCTATTACCCTTGCGCAGCGAGCCGTGGAAACAAGCGACCCACGATCCGATATACGACGTTTGCGGAACGACCTGCATCTCATATTCATGGTTCGCCACAATCTCAGCCAGCTCGTCCTTGATGTACTCCGACTCAATCGGCTGTCCACGAACATAAGCCAGAGACTTGGCGGCTGATTGAAGCTGACCCTTCATAACATGGTAACGGGGTGACTCGGCTAGAGGAGAAAAAAAAAGAGGGGGGGGGGGGGGTGGTCAGTATATCGAGCTTCAAGACAAAATTCCAAAGCACCGCGCAACTTACGCAAAATGAACAACCCGGTTCCCAAAATCAATGCCCACAAAAACTGCACACCAATCGGAATCCTATACGAGCCCGTATCGTTTCTATCCTGCGTGGAATACACAACGCAGTTGGCGAGCAGAATTCCCACGGTAATGCAGAACTGGTACGCCGACACCAGCGCGCCACGAACCTTTCTGGGGGCGATCTCGGACATGTACAATATAATGACGGTTGAGATGAAGCCTACGCCCAAGCCCGCAATGAGTCGACCAAACACGAACAGAACCGTCTGATTAGTCGAGGCAATCTGGAGAACGCAGCCGACGCAGAAGATGAGACAGCCGATGATGATGGTCAGCCGACGGCCGATGAAGTCGGCAATGTCACCGGCGATGAGGGCGCCAAAGAAGGTGCCGCAGGAGAGAATCGAGGTCATGAGAGATTTGGTCGACGAGGGTAAGCCAAAGTTGACGGGGTCGATGCCGATGGGCTGTTTCCTGTCGTAGTCGTACGAGTAACCCGTGTAGAGGGTGATAAAGTAAGGCATGCCTAGCACGCCGTTGATCCAACCCGTATCATAGCCAAAGACTAGAAATGTCGCCCATGAAAGTTAGTATTGGCCTTGAGCAACAAGCACATGAGGTTCAGACTTACATAGTCCACCACATGCTGCAAAAGCGCAGATAAGGTAAGCCTTCAAGGTGACCGGGGCCTCTATCCTCGAAAGATCCGCCGGCCCCTCAAAGGGGAGTAAGGCGCTGACCATCCTCCTTCGATTCCTTTCCCAGTTAAAGCCCGAACCGAGTTGGTGATCCTCCTATCGAGAAGACTTCGCGTACCCAAAGCTGTAGCAAGTCGTCTACGTGGCTTTCGAAATATCTATGTCGACGTTTATCTGTTGGACCAGGAACGGATTCTAAACATCCGAAGGGTTCGTATATCACACACGCAAGAAAGACAGCAACGAGTCAGAAGGAAAGAAGAGTCCCCAGAAGGGAGCTCGAGGCGTGTGTATGGTGTGCGGGATGTGTTATAGAAAATTTTGTCGAATCCCTCGGCAAGAGTAAAGCGGGAAGCGATACATGGGGATCGACTATACTGTGTAAGACAAACAGAACCGGGGCCAAGGGTCATGGAGTCTGCCGTGCACTAAACCTGAAAGGAACTACAAAAGACGAAAGCGAACGAGGAAGGGAAGGGTGAGAACACGGTTGGGGGGTGTGGGAGAGTGTCCGGTAGGGGTACTAGCTGATAAAATGCCGAGCATGGGATATAATCAAAGCTCACGCCTGTCCGTTCTCTGACGCAAAAGCAGTAGAAAGTGACTGGGCAATGAGCACACCACTTGGCAAACTTCCAAGAGCGTGTGTAACAAAGAAAGGGAAATGGAAAGAGAAGCACTCAGATCGCGAAAGAGAAGGAGAGGCGGCCATACGACAATGGAGAGGGATCGAGAGGGTCCGGAAAGTGTGGTCATGCTCAGGACAATTTAGAAGACCAAGAATTTAAGACATCCCAAGACCCCGGAAACAGACGAACAAGCGTCCCTCGAATGCCGAGCGAAGCCTGGACTTCATTTTGATACGCACTGTTGGCTTATGCGAGCTACGCCACATAGGATTGGGGCCATCTTTTGCTTTCTTTTTTTTTTTTTTTTTTTTTTTTCTTTTCAAGACAAGTTGGATAATCCTAGGCTACCCCTGACAGGTCGACAGCCGTAGCACAACGCCATGTTCCTCGCCTGCATACACGCAGGCCCTTAAGTACGCAGCGGGTCATTTCTCGCTGCGTCGCCCTTTGCCCACTTGGGGCTCCTGGAAATGTCTCAGAGCCAGTAGTTTAAATGGGATAAACCGTTAGCACTCCCGGAGACAGGTTTCAGCGGATGATTCGCGGGTAGCGCTTGTGCAATTCGGATATCGGTTCGGGGAGGCTGACTGCTTGAGGAGGTCTCACCCCTGAATGGTATGTTTCTTGTTGGAAATACCTACATTGGCTGCGCCAAGCGCAACTCGCGCACACACAGAGTGAGAGAGAGAGAGAGAGAGGATAGTAGAAAGGCTGCGTACATAGGCCATCTCGGTTCTGCAGCTTACATGACAAAAGGGGGGCGAAGTCAGACTTTGCTTGTGCTGGAAGGCAAAGCCGATATCTGGACGAAAGCGTGACGTCTCGTCTCTTGTGGCTGGTTGCCAAGACGAACCGCGTCTCTTTGAATCATGCTTGCCATGTCACTGGAGAGTTTTGAGAATGACTGACAATAGTGAATCAGAACGTGGATAGTGGAACATGCGGGTTTCATTTCGACTGGTATCTCTTGGCTGCGGAGGCGAGACTGGGAGTTCCGGGAGATGATGGAGCTGAATACTGAAAGAGAACTGACTAGGCAAGAACATGGGCGATTGATAGTGCAAGTGAACCAAGAAGCCACCGAGCAGATCAACCGAACAAAGAAGCCGGGTGCAACGGTGATCATCGGGGAGAAAGGGCATGACGGGTGATGTGTGAATCTCCCTGCGAGCCCTGTTCCCGCATCTGGATGATCTGGTCGAGGTCCAAGGTCGGCAGGGTCGTATCCTCAGCCTGGTGATCGACACGATGCCGTATGTAGGGTATATACTCTGGAGGGTGTGCTTCAGCAGTGAAGGATTGGGCCATCCGCGTTTTGCTTGCCGCCAAGTGTGCGTTAAAAAAGGGACGTTGATGTGCTTGTGATATCACGATCAATGTGCATGTATGATGCTGATTTGAGAAGTTCTCTTGGACTTGGCAACTGTCTACACCAAGCTATTAGGATATTGTGCACAAATCCCGGAGCCAAAATACCTGGAGGCGGCTGGAAGCCTACAGTACGGTGAGTGTTTCGACTGTTCAGGCAGCCTTATCCCATCCACTGGAAAGGGATTCGGCCGATGAATAAAGTGATGTAATAAGATATATGTATATGATGACAACTCTGCCGTACCGCCGCGGGTCGAAAACAAAAATGAGACCTCTGGCGGCGCAAACACCGGCACCGTTCCGCAGCTAGGGCAACGGCTGAACCGGCGAAACACTGTACTTCCAAGGGGACTT